TTTGTTGGTTGGTTGTCGTTCGTAGGTTGGTTGTCGTTCGTAGGTTGGTTGTCGGTTAGTGGGTTAGTTGTCGTTCGTTAGTCAGTTGTCAATTAGTGGTGTTAATTTTGGTTTGTTGGTTGGTTGTCGTTCGTATGTTGGTTGTCGTTCGTTGGTTGTTTGTCGTTCGTAGGTTGGTTGTCGTTCGTTGGTTGGTTGTCGGTTAGTGGGTTAGTTGTCGTTCTTTAGTCCGTTGTCAATTAGTGGTGTTAATTTTGGTTTGTTTGTTGGTTGTCGTTCGTAGGTTGGTTGTCGTTCGTTGGATGGTTGTCGGTTAGTGGGTTAGTTGTCGTTCTTTAGTCCGTTGTCAATTAGTGGTGTTAATTTTTGTTTGTTTGTTGGTTTTCGTTCGTAGGTTGGTTGTCGTTCGTAGGTTGGTTGTCGGTTAGTGGGTTAGTTGTCGTTCGTTAGTCCGTTGTCAATTAGTGGTGTTAATTTTGGTTTGTTGGTTGGTTGTCGTTCGTATGTTGGTTGTCGTTCGTAGGTTGGTTGTCGTTCGTAGGTTGGTTGTCGTTCAGTGGGTTAGTTGTCGTTCAGTGGGTTAGTTGTCGTTCGTAGGTTGGTTGTCGTTCGTATGTTGGTTGTCGGTTAGTGAGTTAGTTGTCGTTCGTTAGTCAGTTGTCAATTAGTGGTGTTAATTTTGGTTTGTTGGTTGGTTGTCGTTCGTATGTTGGTTGTAGTTCGTTGGTTGGTTGTCGTTCGTTGGTTGGTTGTCGGTTAGTGGGTTAGTTGTCGTTCGTTAGTCCGTTGTCAATTAGTGGTGTTAATTTTGGTTTGTTGGTTGGTTGTCGTTCGTATGTTGGTTGTCGTTCGTAGGTTGGTTGTCGTTCGTAGGTTGGTTGTCGTTCAGTGGGTTAGTTGTCGTTCGTAGGTTGGTTGTCGTTCGTATGTTGGTTGTCGGTTAGTGGGTTAGTTGTCGTTCGTTAGTCAGTTGTCAATTAGTGGTGTTAATTTTGGTTTGTTGGTTGGTTGTCGTTCGTATGTTGGTTGTCGTTCGTTGGTTGGTTGTCGTTCGTTGGTTGGTTGTCGGTTAGTGGGTTAGTTGTCGTTCGTTAGTCAGTTGTCAATTAGTGGTGTTAATTTTGGTTTGTTAGTTGGATGTCGTTCGTATGTTGGTTGTCGATTAGTGGGTTAGTTGTCGTTCGTTAGTCCGTTGTCAATTAGTGGTGTTAATTTTGGTTTGTTGGTTGGTTGTCGTTCGTATGTTGGTTGTCGGTTAGAGGGTTAGTTGTCGTTCGTTAGTCCGTTGTCAATTAGTGGTGTTAATTTTGGTTTGTCGGTTGGTTGTCGTTCGTATGTTGGTTGTCGTTCGTAGGTTGGTTGTCGGTTAGTGGGTTAGTTGTCGTTCGTTAGTCCGTTGTCAATTAGTGGTGTTAATTTTTGTTTGTTGGTTGGTTGTCGTTCGTATGTTGGTTGTCGTTCGTAGGTTGATTGTCGTTCGTAGGTTGGTTGTCGTTTAGTGGGTTAGTTGTCGTTCGTTTGTCCATTGTCAATTAATGGTATTAACTTTTGTTGGTTGTTGTCGGTTAGTGGGTTACGTGTCGTTTCTTATTCTTTTGTCAATAAGCTGTGTGAATTTTGGTTTGTTGATTTTTGTTTGTAATCGGTTCGTGAGTTTAAATGTGGGTTTTGTATTTGTGTGTGTGTATGTTTGTGTGTGCTTGTGTGCGTTCGTGTGTGGGTGGGTGTACACACACGGACTTTAGCAACTTATCTGATACTTATTGGGGCTGATAATCTGGTTGATGGGTCCTCTGGTTGATGGGTCCTCTGGTTGATGGGTCCTCTGGTTGATGGGTCCTCTGGTTGATGGGTCCTCTGGTTGATGGGTCCTCTGGTTGATGGGTCCTCTGGTTGATGGGTCCTCTGGTTGATGGGTCCTCTGGTTGATGGGTCCTCTGGTTGATGGGTCCTCTGGTTGATGGGTCCTCTGGTTGATGGGTCCTCTGGTTGATGGGTCCTCTGGTTGATGGGTCCTCTGGTTGATGGGTCCTCTGGTTGATGGGTCCTCTGGTTGATGGGTCCTCTGGTTGATGGCTCCTCTTGTTGAAATAACGCTTGCAGAGCAACCACGTAGTGACGAAGTACAGAAATAAAAAACGTCCGTATTTATCCCACGAACTTATCAGAAAAAACTTCCGCATTTATCCCACGAACTAATCAGAAATAAGAGTGTAGCTACTTAATTAATCCCGTGGCATCCACTATACGACAAGAACCTTCATCTTAAACAACACACCAAGCGCGTTGCTGTTTTTTTTGTTAAAGAAATTAAAACTGTTCTTACAACAGTGTCACGGGTTTTGACACGTTTGCTACGTCCAATTACAACCCTGTCCCCCACCCCTCTAAAACCTATTGGTGCCCCGCTGAACACTAGCTCAGTTACCCGACCGAACACACTAGCTCAGCTACCCGACACAACACACTAGCTCAGCTACCAGACACAACACACTAGCTCAGCTACCCGACACAACACACTAGCTCAGCTACCAGACACAACACACTAGCTCAGCTACCCGACACAACACACTAGCTCAGCTACCAGACACAACACACTAGCTCAGCTACCAGACACAACACACTAGCTCAGCTACCAGACACAACACACTAGCTCAGCTACCAGACACAACACACTTGGGCCGAGCGCCTGTCAACCTTATACTCGACGCTGTCCTATATTCATCAAACATAAACAAACGTCAGAAAATCGCACTACACATTTTTTACACTGAGCACTAACACACCAAGCCGTAGCACACACAACCTACCTACGTTACCAGTCACCGCCTCGAATATATTTGTGTAATGTTTACCGAGACTTCGCTTGTTTATTTCTCTGTTTTAGATGCTCAAGCAGCTATCAAGATTGAAACGTCCTTCGGGCATAACCTGTTTAAAAGTTGAATACAAGAGCACCTAACTCCAACAGTTTTATTAGTTTTATCTTGAAGCGTGATTGGATTTTTTCCCAATGTTCATACCCCTCTGTTATTTAAACAACTCACAAATAAATTAATACACAAGAGTCATGAAAACGTACATACATAGAGTATAGTATAAGAAGAAGATATTATTTTTTTGGTTTAAATTTTTTATTTTTCCGCCTCATCCCTCCACCGACCCTTCCCTATTGACTTCTTTACTTTTTTTTGTAAGGGGATATAACTAGGCTAGGGTGATTATGTTGATAATATTAATGGAGTTGCTTCGCTTTACAAAGAAAACTTAATAACAGTTATTTTAAACATTTATGACGTCAAAATAATGGGGGGGGGGGGGGTGATTTGGAATTTGTGACAATAGAGGGGGAGGGCAGGTTAAGAATTGTGACATCCCACTTTTATAGCATACAAGAATGTTTTATCGTTAGTTATCAATTATTGTAAAACTATTGTATCAGTATACACAGTTTAGACCCAGCTCAATGAATATTTTATAGCAAGAAAACGCCATTTACAAAATTACAATTTGGATCTAGGTGTAAACTAAAAGTGTAATGTAATTTTATTCTGACGGGTGGGAGCGACATATTGTGACGAAAGTGATCACCGTTTGTGTTAGTTAGACGAAATTTCATATAAAATATTATATCTAACGTGTTCGTTTAACTCTCAAAAGCCGTTAACTTGAGTACCGTTTAAGTTCGGTTTAACATACGAGTTTAACATTTATATTTAACGTATAAATATAGTATTGTATGCTCAGGTTCCTACCAACATTTGAACGATTTCCGACAAACGGAAGTGGTACTTTACTCTATTTCCTTGGGAACACGATAACTTGAGTGCTGTTTCAGAAAGTAGGACTAAATTTCAATTAAAAGTGAAAGAGCTTACACTTTGATAAAAAAAAATTTGATTATTTTCAATATTTAAGGGGGTTTCGACATCCGAAAGTGATATTTAAAGTTAACTTTTTTCATAAAATGTGACTTACTTAGATGTTCAATTAACTTTTTTTTAAATTAGTCATTGTTTCGCTTATAAAATAACTACTACTTTTCCGCTCTATTGTACACACATTGTTTACTTTCATTTGGCGCAATTCTTTTTCTACGCGATTCTATTTTATTTATTTTTTTAATTTAAGGATTAAAATCCATTAAAAATTGCCTAGCCCGTTCAAGCTTTTCATATACATTCGTCTCTCCAGGGTGAACCAGAGGCGTAGCGGGGGGGGGGGGACAAATGTCCCCGGGCGCCGACCTTAGAGGGGGGCGCCAAATTGAAAGTTTAAAGGGGGGGTGCAAATGAAAAGTTAGAGGGGGTGGAAATCGAAAGTTTGAGGGGGAGAGGGTGCAAATGAAAAGTTCGAGGGGGAGGGTGTAAATCGAAAGTTTGAGGGGGGGGGGTGCAAATGAAAAGTTCGAGGGGGGTGCAAATCGAAAGTTTGAGGGGGTGGGCTGGAAATGAAAAGTTCGAGGGGGGGTGGAAATCGAAAGTTTGTCCCGGGCGCTGGGATGAGTAACTTTTAGCCTAATCGCCTACCGTGAACTAAGGAGGGGCAGATAAAAGAAAGTGAATGCCCCTTATCGGCTTCAAAAAACAATTATTTCTAGTCTTACCCTATGCGATGTTAACTTCTTCTCCGGGGGAAAGGGGTGGGACACTTGAAATTTTCGGGTGGGATGGGGGGTATCGGACTAAAATTTCCTGGGGACGGACACCGGTAAAAGTATATATTTTCTACATAAATTCTATTTCGTTAGGGGGGTACACATTCTTCTAGTGCATTTAAAAGCTTATTATTATAAAGGTTGTTTATATTTTATATAGGTTGTTTATGCTTTATTTTTAAGTTTGTTTTTTGTTTTGTTTAAAAATAATATTTGATAAGTCACAATCGTTTGGCCAAAAATTTTGTATTTGTTCTCGTTTCCAATCTGGCAAATTGGATTTACTTCCGGTAACAGCGGCAATTTCAATTGTTTATAAAATGTCTGACTTGTCTTGTCAGTGTTTGGCTATCGCTTATTCATTTATTTAGAGTCACTGGTTCTTATAAATTACTGAAATAAAATGGCATATTGAATTAATAGAATTAAAAATAAACATGGTCAATAAAAACCCATACCTCGACTCACTTGAAGTAAGTATTTAGCTAAATCTGGTAGTTTCACAATCACAGGACTTCAGTTCCATTCTTCTCAAATCTCAGCATTCTCAGTCCATCTGACGTTTCGTTCGCAGATCTAGACCTATGTCAGATGGTTTGTCCTGTTATGTACCTATAAAAATTAGACCTAATGCATCTTAATAACGTTTTATAGGCCTAGACAATAGTGGTCATCCATTTATGATGTCCACTAAAATTTTTCGAAGTGACTACTGAAGATTTTTCTCCACACAGCGCAATGACCTATAGCTAGGGTTAGGGATAGGATTATCATTAGAGCTAGGGTTAGTTAGGGTTGGTGTTAGGGCTAGGGTTCTGCGGTTGTAAACACACGCATGCACAGTACCACCGAAAACATCGCCGCAATGGCAAGTCGTAGTTTTTCTCCATTGCGCATGCGTATCTTTTTCCGGCTAGCATCTGCAAAAAATTTTATAGTTATGTGCAGGGTGGGGGTTAAATGTGAAGAAGACTGCTAAAATTATTTAGATAGGGTAAAACTCCATTTAAGCATATTTTATTCCCTGCCTCACGTTCCCCTACGGTTTAGCGTATTTTACCACAAACACACACAAACTTTAGAAAATCACTAGGCTAATTTCTACAGGGGGCCTATGAGTTTTAGTTTTTGATAATATAATTTTGTCAAAACTTGAGAAAAATCCCAATTAGGGATATTGAATGTGCATTATTTTTGTTTTTACTTTTGAAAATATGTTCTTGTCAGTTAAGAATTTTATGTCAATTGGTAAAATAGAAACTCATGATTGCAAGGCAGTTAAGTTTGTATTGTTAAAAGTATCTCGCAAACTTATTTGAACTCACAATGACCCTAAGCTATGACGTATGCTGATAATTAAAGTCAATGTGAACTCACAGTCACAGTGAACCCTTGATCATGTAAGGATTTTTCTCCCGCCGATGATCGCACGCTATTTAATTGGACCTGTAATGCTTATTTATAATGTTTTTTGGGGAATAAATACGCTTAAATGGAGTTTTACCTTGATTAGATCTACCCTGATTTACATTTTACAAGGAACCTTGTTGTAGACTGTAAATGAGAAGACTTTTTCGATTTTATTGTTATAAATTCCTAATTATCCGTCGATAGATGTGTTGATGATTTATTATTATAATTATGATTTTTTATTTTACTATAGATCTAGGCCTAATTCAAATGGTTGTCATTATAAAAAAGGGTATTAGGCCTATAAGCTTATGTAAGAATTCCCATTGATCCAAAGTACTTTTCTGGGCTGGGGAGAAATAAAGGTGTCATTAGTGCAACTGACAAAAAAAAACCATGAGTGGGCAGTCATGATGGCGACAATGTTTAGAGTTGGAAAAGAGCTTGAATTTTTTAATATAGAATCGGTTTCCCAAGCTATTAATAATAGTAATCATATATATTACAATTAAGAATTTTTCCCCAACATTTCTCAGTAAAATATCAGATAGAAATTCACCAACAATTATGTTTTTAGTTTACTAAAGTCAGTATGAGCAATGAAAAGCAATTGGTTTGAAGTGTTGTACTAGACCTAGGCATGTCACATCAGTTATCATAGCAGTTTGTTTTATGTATGAGTTCTATTTACTTTGTACATCTATTTTTTATGGTTTGGAAGCTCATTCAATGTATATTCTGGTGAATGTTTAACATATCGAAATAATAAAAACTGTGATTGTTACTACTTTAATTAAATGTATGCAGGCTGTAACAGATGAGCTTAAGCTTCTGTCTGAAAACTCTGAGTCACCCATTGTTTCTCTCAAGTTTCAAAAGTTTTTGTATGAAAGCATCAACTTTTTGAACACACAAGGTAGGGAGCCACTCATTACCTATACATTCAATAGTTAGTGCAGTTTTAAAATGGTAGTTTTCTGCTATAGGTTTTGATCTGTTTATCGCATGTTTAACTTTTTGACTTGTGCAGTGCTTACATTATTAACATATTGTTATTGGGCTGTATTTTGATGAAGGTGGTAGCAACTGTACAACAAATAAAGAACTACTTGAATGGTACGAGGTGCTGGAACAGGTTTTGCGTACACTGATACTGAGACAAAATGATCTGGACCCAAAACGTCTCAGTCTTCAGATGATTATAACTTACCTCAGCCACTACACTTTTCATTTGCTCAAAGTAGAAGAGGTAGGTGATATTTAAGTCATAGGTATGAAGAAATGTGTTGGTGTTTGATTAAATAGAACCTCACATTTTTATATTTTTCTTTAAGGTTCCACTAGGATGGTATAAATCTCTGGCCATAGTTGTGCTTGAGTATTTGGCTGATTTCATCCAAAGTTCAGGGTCACAGCCTAGTTTTGTTGCCAGTGTCGCCACCAACTTTTTTGGGTGCTTCTGCAAAGCTGGACAGAAATTTGAGAAAGAGATAAAGTCCAAGACAGGTCTAAATGTGGTCCCAGCATATGAGCTGTATCTTCTTGCCTCTGCCATTCAAAGTCTAGACTCAACAAATAAGACGCGGGATGGACTGAAGGTGGCTAAAGAATTTTTAATTAGTTATACACAGCTGGTTAAAGGATCTGACCAGGTGCTAGATGCTGGGGCGGCTCTGTCAGATTTGTTTGAGGCTGCTGTGAAAGTTTACACATTACAGAGCAGAGATGTTGCTGATGATAGCAGCTTGTCTTTTTTTGTTGAGTTATTCAGGTTAGTATGTTTTTTTACTGCTAGTTCTGTGTATGTGGCGTCAAAGTTTGCTCAGACATTGTGGACTCCCACAAAATAGTTGTTAATACTGAACTGTGTGTCACCAAAAGATTGTTTGACTGCAGCTGTTACTGTGTTTTAGACTGGTACAGAGGGATGCTGGGATGTGTGAGAGGCTGCTTGCCTGTGATGGTAACTTGTACAAGCTGGAGCCAGCTGACTGCAGCCACGACTTCCCTGTTTTAGCATCATGTCGTCTGATCAACAAAAACAAGTTGGCTATCAGCAGTCAGGTGGAAAACAGAAGTACGTGCTCTATTTTTTTATGGGAGGTTGCTTTTTTTTTATACAAATCCTATTCACATATTACTAGGGTATTTCTTTCAATGCAAACGGGTTCTGATTTTTACATTAACTAAATTCCTATTAGGCAAAACATTGTTAAACTCTGCCTACTATCAGGGACGTTAATTTCCAGTGTTTTACTTCTTAAACGACTAGCAAGTTTAACTTTTGTCATTTTTACAGTTCAGGAGATTGTGATTTCTTTATTGAAGTTCACTTGTAGCCTGAATCATGCTGCACCATGGGACCCTACACAAACTGGGCATTCTAAAGTTAAAAAACCATCAAAAAAGGACAACTTAGATATGGATGATAGTTCACAAGTAAGTAGGCCTATATATATGTAACTTTTGCATTTTTTTTCTTGTCATTGTTAAATATTTAAGCTATGATTAAATATATTTTAAAATCAGTAGTTGTTGAAAGTTAATCCATGATGAATACAATATGAAAGTTTAATATCTGATCTCCAGATGGAATCCCAGTTGAGCCCTACCATCTCACACATCCAAGCACTGTTGTCTGAGTCTCAGAAACCTGTCAGCCTGGCCATAGGTGACAGCCTGTCAGCACTTGTCAGCACCAGCATAGACCCCAGGCAGACAGCGACCTGCACGCTGATGCTGTTGTACAGGCTCCTGTCTCTGGCCATTGAGGTCTTCCTGCGCGAGATCCTGGCCAGGGCTGGGAAGGAGAGCTATCTGAACTTTGTGTCCGCCAGGGTCTACTCGTTGGCTCTTGCTAACAAAACCAGGCTCAATACATTACAGGCTCTGCTGTGCAGGGACGAGTCTGGTAAATAGCAAGTTTTTTTTAATCTACTGTTGTTAATGCTCTAACAGTTGATAATGTACAGGAACAGTTTGATAACTAACAGCAAGCCAATCACTAAACCAACAGAATTATGATAAAATTATGATAAAAGTTGTAATAACATTAGTTTGAGCATTCTACTACTTAATATTAATTTTTAGAAAATTTAAAACATTAAAATTTACTTATAAAATGACTGGCAGTACATATCATAATCCTAGCCCTGAGAATTCTTAATGTATTGCTCTATCGTCTTGTTACCTTTTCAGATTTCACTATATAAGGAATCAATATTGTAGGAAATATGAATTCTTTAAACTGATCTTAGTTAATTAAAATGTTTCCCAGACAAGTTAATTGAGTTGTTCACTCTCCAGAAGGGCACACTGAACTCTCTGTGTATACTGATAAATTAATGAAATTATTTCCCAGACAAGTTGGTTGAGTTGTCGACTCTCCAGAAGGGCACACTGAACTCTCTGTGTATACTGATAAATTAATGAAATTATTTCCCAGACAAGTTGGTTGAGTTGTGGCACACTGAACTCTCTGTGTATACTGATAAATTAATGAAATTATTTCCCAGACAAGTTGGTTGAGTTGTCCACTCTCCAGAAGGGCACACTGAACTCTCTGTGTATACTGAGTCAAGCTGTGAGCAAGAAAAACATCCTCTCTGCCCTACCTAATGCTGCCAGTCAGGTCCTCAAGTGCCTGGAGAGTGCCAGTAAGAAAATTAATTTTAGTCTAATTATGAGGGCTCTTTAAAACATGTAGAATCGTATGGTTTCTTTGTTTGCTGTGTAAAAAAGTTATATATATTTATTTATAAACCTATGTACTGATGAAAAAGAGCATTAGAATACATTAAGATGGACATATTTTCAAATATATCAGCATAGTTTGTGTGTAAATGTGGTTTGTGTTTACTTGTTTTAAAGTGTTGACAACTGAATGTCTTACTTGTTTCTCCTAGCCGTAGCTCTGGGTTCTATAGGCCGACAGTTGAGGCGACAAGAGAAACATGCACAAGTTGTACAGGTCCTGGCTCCAGTCTGGCCTGTCCCCAAAATGGCAGAGCTGGTCAGTGCACATTGTTAATTCCCTCAAATTTGATCCAATATTTTTAAAAATGTTAAGATAATTGTTTAGCTTGTTACCAACTGGCGCCTCATCTCAATGTGGGATGGTAAAGCACTCAGCTGCTAGCTCGAAGGTCTCAGGTTCCAATCATCGTTTGAATGTGTGACTGTCAGATGTCCCTGAGTCCACCTACTTCTGATGGGTACCTGACGTATGTTGGGGAAGTTAAAGGCGACTGGGCATAATGCTGACAACTCTATCCCCTATATACTGAGGTCAAAAAACATGCAACATCTCATCTTCCCAATGTATCCCTAGGTCTAAAGAGGAACTAAAATTACTTTATCTCACTGTCCAGCTAGCACACGTCAGCCACCATGAGTCTCTGGCTGAGAGCTACAGAAGTCTGGGCCAGAAGGAAAAGGCATGTTGTGTGATCATGGAGGCAGCCAGACTTGACACCAAGCTCATCACTGAACCTCTCATTAAGACAATGTGGAAAATGGCAAAACAAGATCCTTCATTGTGAGTGGTTGTTTTTCCTACGTGAATTAATTTATTTTTTTGCTAGTTTAAGATTTGTAAACAGACTAATTTTGAGAGAAAAAGTAAATAAAAAATGGTCACGTTTTGATTGTCAGGCCTGTGGTAAAGTAAAAAAATGTTTTGATAGTCAGGCCTGTGGTAAAGTAAAAAAAAAATATGTTTATTGCCAGGCCTGTGGTGAAGATGTTTGAACCTCTGCTACATGAAGAGGAACAACAACACGCTCAGCTGATGGAGATGGTGTGTAGGTGGATACTGTCCTTCAATCAAAGGTAGGTTCTACCTCACCCCTTAGTTGTTCCATAGCGCAAGCCTTAGATGCTGACAGATAGTAGGGTTCTACAAAAGCTTCCTACCTAACCCTTATTTGTTCCATGGCACAAGCCCTTTATGCTGCAATTTTTCTCTTCATCTGATAGGCCTAATTTATTTACTTTTGTAATTATAATGTTAGCTTAACTTTCAACCAAGTTATCACTGATAGTCTGCAGTGTACTTTTCTAACTTTGTTAAACCATCTTTAAATCAAGGCAGTCACTGATATTTTACTGGGTTTTTTTTTGTAATTTCATTAGCCCGTCTTTGAGCCGAGCTATTGCTGACATCCTAGAATGTTTGTCTGCCCACCCCGCCCTCTCATCTTGTGAGAAAGCTGTGTACTCACTCCTGCTGGTAGAAAATAAAGCCTTCTCTAATGATGACAACCACAATAAGATTTCAAGGTACTTAGTCTTGGTGCTTTGCTCAAATTTAAAAGCACAGCTAAAAGTCTATATTAATCTCTAGTTATGTCTGACTCTATATAATGTGCTTTGAGCGCTCCTTATTTATTGTCTCACCAGTCAGATGCTTCAGACAACAAGAGACTCAATCTCTGTGCTAGTGGATGACTCAAGTCACAGTTTTGATGACTTTTTGTCACAGATGACTTTCTTATATTGGGAGATGTGTCATCGGCTCACATGTTTAGACAAGGTACCCACACGTTAAATGTTGAAAGACAGTGTGCAATATGTTATATTACACATCGTGGCTTAACATTGCAGCCTCAGCTTATGAAATGTGAGTATCTTACAGTGTAAAATGTTGGCCTAAACTTGTATTTCTCCTGTTTGAATGGCAGACCAATGCAGAGGATGAGTCTCCTGAAGTACCTACCACTCCACCACCCATAATGCAGTCAACCCAAACAGTCAAGACCCCCTCTGAGCCTGGCCTGCTGGAGCCACAGACCCCCATGGATCATGCCCCGACCCCCAAATTGAAGCTTTCATTTCAGACGCCAGTGAGGCCCAGGAAACAGGTCCTCAAGAGTAAAGGAAAAAACATGGCCAGTCAACCTCTTTGCCAGGTAAGATTTCTTATCAAATTGGGTTTTATTTTTGTTTGGTTGTTGTTTTTTGTTGCAGTTTTCTACTGGTTTGGCCTGATGAATTGTCAAAAAAACATTATTTTCTTTTATTGTGTTGCTGTTATATTTTCCCACTATTTCTACTTAGTTTGATGTTTTAATTCTTGTTTTGTTTTCTCCAGGTAGACAGTGATACCCTTATGACCAAGGCATCTGTTTGTCTGACTGTATGGACTGAATGGTTCAACTGCCACAAAAGTGTCCTGATGACCATGGAGGATGGGAGGTTTAGGGCGGAGCGGAGTCTCACTTTCTTGCAGAGGGTTGCCGAGTTGGCACTGGCTAACCATCAGGTAATCATCAGGTGGTTTAGGCCGGAACTCTTGGAGCTGTGTAGGGAACATGTCAGTGTTCATGTGATGTGTACTGTATGGCATTTTGTTTGCAGACCACCACAGCTTTACAGGCATTCTGTCTGGCTAAAAATCTGGCCACCTTAGCTGAGAAAACAGATGTGGTCAAGCGTGTGACTGGCCAGCTGATTGCGCTGGTGGCACAGGTGGGCTTGAAGTGTGAGGACAGCAGCAGTGACAGAGATCTGTTTGAGGACAGCCCTGATGATGTCTTCTTGTCCAGTCTTGGCCTGGGGGAGGATGGACACATCCTGGATCTGGTCTCCATAGCAGCACACCATCTGAGGACAGGGGAGGTAAGTCTTGTCTTCAAGGGAGAGAAATATTAAATTGTTTTTAATAATTCCTGCTTCTAACTTATTTTTAATTTAAATTAATTCGAAAGATGGAAAATATTTCATTATTTTTATTAGGACTTTGGAAATTAAATACTCCCTAATTAGTTGTAAAGTTTTAAGTTTGTTTCTATATCATGCTTCTAAGACTTGTTGTTTTGAACCATTCAGCATATGCACTTTGTGAAGGTTCGTAATCTTGTGAATGAAACAATCAATAAGACTCGTGACAAAGGGGTCATGACCCCCAGCACTACAATAGCCCTGTCATTCATCAAGAGACTTTCTGCTGAATTTGCTGCACAGTTTCCAGAGATGAGTGACTATGGTAAGTTGTTGAATTAGAGAAGGGTCAGAAATTAGTTGTGTATTTTATCTTAGTATCCAATGAAATGAATATATGAGTTGTGTATTTTGTCTCAGTACCAATGCAATGAATATATGAGTTGTGTATTTAGTCTTAGTACCAGTGAATTGAATATATGAGTTGTGTATTTAGTCTTAGTACCAATGCAATGAATATATGAGTTGTGTATTTAGTCTTGGTACCAGTGAATTGAATATATGAGTTGTGTATTTAGTCTTAGTACCAATGCAATGAATATATGAGTTGTGTATTTAGTCTTAGTACCCAATGAAATTAATAAATGAGTTGTGTATTTTGTCTCAGTACCAATGAATATATGAGTTTTGTATTTAGTCTTGGTATCCAATGAAATTAATATATGAGTTGTGTATTTTGTCTCAGTACCAATGCAATGAATATATGAGTTGTGTATTTAGTCTTAGTACCCAATGAAATAAATGAGTTGTGTATTTAGTCTTAGTACCCAATGAAATAAATGAGTTGTGTATTTAGTCTCAGTACCAATGAAATAAATGAGTTGTGTATTTCAGGGTCTGAGTCACATGACACATATCCCCTGTTGCTTGCTGGTGATGCCCTCAAGTACAGCTCTAGTATTGCCATGTTTTACTTGGGGAAAGACTACAAGAGCATTGAGAACAAAGGTTTCTTCATGTTTAAGCTAGTGCCTTCTATTGCTCTGTTACAGACCAAAAATCAAATGCATACTTTTTTTAATTAGAGATTTTTTCTTTTGTAAAGATTGTGAAGCTTATTTTATAAAGATTGAGTGGCTAACAGTTAATATATTAATATAACTTTTTGGTAACAATCATTGTGTGAAAAGTGTTGTTTTATTTTCCAGGGCCCTCTATAGACACTTGGCAAATAGTTCACAATTACTTGACAACTCTAAAGCTGAATGGGGAATTGTTCATGCACATTGGAAACATCAAATACGCCAGGACTCATTTCACAGAGGGACTCAAGATGGCCAAGTCCTATCTACTGGTCACTTGGTCAGTTGATGTAGCCCTAAGTTATAGACATCTTCCTTATGTGAGAAGTTATCTCACTGACAGACTGGTCAGTTGATATAGCCCTATGTTCTGATACATCTTCCCTATGTGAGAAGTTATCTCACTCATAGACTGGTCAGTTGATATAGATCTAAGTTCTGATACATCTTCCCTATGTGAGTAGTTATCTCACTCCCAGCTCATCAACTTTATACTTTGCAGCTGTTTCCACAATTCCATTTTTATTTGTATGCTACAGATTTTTAAACCTGTTTTTTTTAAAATAAGCAATGATTCACCCCCCAATACTATGAGAAAAACATTTATCTTTTAATTCCACATTGTCTGTAGCTATCCACACAAATGATTGATTTGATTAACTGTTTCTATTCTCCTCATCAGGAGTGCCATATTTCTGTGTAAACTTGTGGAAGTGGCTCTGTGCTATTATGATACAACTAAAGAGGCTCAAGGGTACCTGAAGGTAGGACAACCACATCTAGTGCCACACTCCCACTTTTATCCTAGTTATACTGGACAACCACATCTAGTGCCACACTCCCACTTCTATCCTAGTTAAACTGGACAACCACATCTAGCGCCACACTCCCACTTCTGTCCTAGTTACACTGGCCCCAAGTTAATTTCTTTCATTTTATGATTCAACTTTTTTAAGTTACATTTTATTTTCTCGTCTCTCTTAACATGCTATTGTTAAGTTTGTTGTTAAATTATTTGAATCTTTTTCACCAGAGAGCACTAAGAATAGTTGGTAAACAAAGCTTGTCATCCCAGGAAGTTGAAGCTGCAAGCTGTGCACACAACCCTCTGGCCCTGGACCACTTTCACTGCCACTTTCATACAGACAGAAAACAGAATCAGTGCATCTGTTCAAACAGGCCAAGTCAAGTTGATGGTAAATCTCTAGTGGTTGTAGCTTCAGCACATCTTTTAAATCATCATGTAGAGTTAAAGTCAATACTTTAGTCAACTACATTGTAACAATAGATGAGTGCTCATTACACAACTGTTTGTTCCAGCACTAGACGTCAGGGAACTTTTGTTTGAGGCTGTGGCTGGGGACAACGAAGAAGTCATGGAGGATGAAGGGCCAGATGTGAAGTTTCTCTGTCATGCTGTGTCATGTAGCCATTGCTACAACCCTAATGTAGCACATCTTAGCACCCAACTCATGTGGTACCAAGCTGAGGTACGTGTCATGTAGCCATTGCTACAACCCCAATGTAGCACATCTTAGCACCTAACTCATGTGGTACCAAGGTGAGGTATGTGTCATGTAGCCATTGCTACAACCCTAATGTAGCACATCTTAGCACCCAACTCATGTGGTACCAAGCTGAGGTACGTGTCATGTAGCCATTGCTACAACCCTAATGTAGCACATCTTAGCACCCAACTCATGTGGTACCAAGCTGAGGTACGTGTCATGTAGCCATTGCTACAACCCTAATGTAGCACATCTTAGCACCCAACTCATGTGATACCAAGCTGAGGTATGTGTCATGTATCTGTTGTTTTCAGATTGCCAGTAAAAATGTGAATATGTATTTCATATTGCCAGTAAAATGTGAATGTTTTCAGATTGCCAGTAAAAATGAATGTTTTCAGATTGCCAGTAAAAACGGCCAACACTCTGCTGTGATTGAGTCCCTGAATGCCGCTGGGTGCACATCGCAAGCCCTGTCAGAAAAGACTTGTAAACACAAAGTTTTGGACGTTTTAGCGGATTACGGATTCAACTTTTCTGTTGGGGAACATGGTGCTCTAGAAACTATCAATCCGCTGTTAGAAACAAAATTTCGTCTGGCTTCCTATTTGTATCACTGTCTGTATAATATGCCAGAGCATGAAGGTTGTGAGGTCCGTGTGGAAGACTTGAAATGTTGTTTGGACAGTGTGGTCAACAACAGCACAGAGCTGTGTTCCTTGAACAACTCTGTTCTGTTGGCTTCTGCTCATCTACTCAAGAGCCACATGAAACACCTGCCTGAGCTGCTCACACACAGTCAGATGGTGGATGAGGAAGCTCGTGAGTGGACAGAGCAGAGGGGGGGTGACCTCACCGATGAAGAAATCATCGCCTTAGGTGCGAGTGAGTTACAGGCCTTTAACACTTTTTGGAACTCACAAAAAGTTCTAGACTTTAAATCTGTGAATCTGGTCACCGCCTCGGACAGTGTCCAGCCTGACACCCACTTGAGAACTCCAACTGCTCCTTGCAGAATCGCCACAAGTGTGTCCCCAACATCCGCCACATCCACCAAAGTATCCACCTCATCCACCAAAGTATCCACCACATCCAGCATTAGATCAGGAGCTAAGACCAGCAAGAAGCTCTCACTTAGAAAAGATAAAGTTATCCAGATCTTTGATGACTCTGTGGTAACGCCCTGTGTGAAAAAACCAGTCAAAACTCTGCGGGAACACAACCCACCCATGGAGGAGCCAGCTGGTGTGGAGGCTCCCTCAAGGTCCTCTCGCCCTGAGAGCACCAAACCTGTCAAGAGGATCACAAGACAGAGGCAGGTCAAGAAGGAAATATCACCCAAAGAAAATGTGGCACCAAAGAGAAGTTCCAGAAAGAAAAAAGTCGAGTCCCCTGAGACTGGGAGACAGGAACCTCTGCTGGCGCCATTTGTTGTAGAGAACTTGGATGTGTCCTACAGCATCATGGACAGCCCTGTCAGGGGGGAGGACAGCTGTTTGATGGCCACATCACCCTGGTTAGACTCACCTGAGGTACCCAGGGGGCGGGGTAAAAAGAAACAGGAAACAGAAAAAACAACAGGCACCAAGAGATTGAAGAAAACTGAGCTCATGCCAGATATCTCTGACTTAAAGATACCTGTTTCAGGTAAGTGTTACCTTGATACAGATTACCTGTTCATTATATATACCTTGTTATGTAGTTCAGCTTAGCCTCTTTAATATGATGGAGGATGGATACCAGTTACTGTCTGACAATTTTAACTTTGACTACAGCAGGAGAGAAACTTGGTTGTCAATAGCAACCACCAGCCCTAACACACCTTACAAAACAAATCACATCTACATCCTCACATGGCAAACAACTCCCCAATTAAATCTCTCAGCCTCGCCCTAAGTAACCTCACCCCTGTCTGACCTCATCAATACAGCAAAGGGTGGGGCACCTAACCTATACATACATTACATCTAACCTGCACTATCTGAACAACTATGATACACTGGAACATTCTTAATGTATTCAAATTGTATTAAGTTATGGGACTTAAATCAAACACCTTAGGGCCATTCCTGTTACAACTACTATGACCTATCTAACCTACAATTACACAATATGATAGTATGGACATACCTACAATTATGCAAATCCCACTTATAACATACCTGTTATGTTCTTTTGTTTCATTGTGTTGTTTTTTAACCTGGTTATACTATAGTATTAAATAATTCAGGTGTTCTATCTAATAACACATATTTCTAGCCTAAAAATTATAAGAGAATGTTTTTGGACAATACCATAGTATAGAGATTTTTGTGTATGATATTCTTCGTGTAAATGGAACTTGTAGATGTTTTCTGTCTGGCATCAGGCTCAGCAGAATCTGACCAACTCAGAGATGTGTTACAGAGGATGAAGCATTTTCCTCACTCATTTCTCTACAGTCAGACATCTCGGGCCCTGGCCCTGAATGAATGGTCCCAGGATACTTTGGATGGTAAATACAGATTTTAGCATCATGTTGCCATTCTCTGTGTAATGGGTGCCCAGTAAATTGTGTTTTTTTTTTTTTATTAATGCAAGTTTGATCAATCAGTTCACTGTTTGAATAATTTAAATTTTTCTAAATGTTGATCCCAGCTAAATATTTTTCTAAATGTTGATCCCAGCCATATATTTGTTTAAATGTTGATCCCAGACAAATATTTTTTTTTAAATGTTGATCCCAGCCAAATATTTTTTTAAATGTTGATCTCAGCCAAATATTTTTCTAAATGTTGATCTCAGCCAAATATTTTTATAAATGTTGATCTCAGCCAAATATTTTTCTAAATGTTGATCTCAGCAAATACTTTTCTAAATGTTGATCCCAGCCACATATTTGTTTAAATGTTGACCCCAGCCAAATATTTGTTTAAATGTTGATCTCAGCCAAATATGTTTTTGATCCCAGCCAAATCCCGAGGAAATGGTGACCTGGGTGACCATAAGAAAATCTCAGCCTACCTGACAGACTCTATGCACTTGACCTTCCATCATCTGATGACAAGAAACCTGCAATCAAAACTTAGGTAAGGTGTTTTAGCCTGATCACTCTTGTGTCCACAACCTGCTGTGGGTGGGTTTTTTTTAAATTGCTTTACCAAGTTTACTTTTATATATGTTTTTATCGTATTTTATTTTTAAATTATTTTTTATATATACACTGGCATGAAAATGTATTGTCTGAACTATGTAAAACAAAATTTACCTGTTTTGTGATTCAGAAAATGTAAAGACTCCAAGTCTAGGAAGCTGCAGCCTGATGACAGTGATGCCAACATGTACCTGAGTGACTGGTGTCAGCTGACAGGTGAGGATCTGACCCATGAGGTCACGGCCATGTCTGAGGCCCTGACACGCCTACAGCCAGGGGGGGAAGTGGAGCTTCTGGGCAAAAGATTGGCTGCCTTGCCTGCAGGTAGGTCATCTCTACTGTTGTTTTTTGTGGCTCAACGGTTAAATAATGTTTGTAAAGTATGACTTCATTTCTTCGACTTCTTAGTGTTATTTAAACCCTACCTATAAGTTCATGCAAAATATTAGTATAGTCATTTTTTATTGTCATAGTTTACAATGTATTTATTCATCTTATCTTAGCATAAATTACACTTATCTTAGTTTAAACATAATGAGCTCATGTATCCACATAGATTGGACTGTTGTCCAGATGACTGTGGTCAACTACGACCCATTGAACCCTGGCACTGGCCAGGTGTTTATAACAAGATTGACCCCTGACCTTGAACCTGTAACTGTTGAACTTCCACACAAAAGATGGCTCTATGTAAGTCAAGTCTAGATTTGTGTAATCACTTGATAATCACACTCATCAAAATTGTAATTGAAAAGTAATATACATATACATCATTTATTTGAAAAGTAATGTCATCCCAGTACAATTTTTTCCCCAAGCTTTGACCCAACCTTTGAACCTACACACCTGTTTTCTTTAGGCTGTTTCTGTCTTGTAATTACCCATATAGTGAGTACCATTGTCTTGATTGTGTCCCCAGCTAACCAGAGCCAGTAGAGTGTATGAAACAGCCATCAAACATGACAACAACCTGTCACCAGAGGAGTACTGGAACCACAGGTTTAGGAGGGACACGGATATCAAAGTCAGTTGCTCTCACATTGATTCAACTATTTACTAATGTCTTCAGTTACTCTCACATTGATTCAACTTTAATGTTATCTATTTACTAATGTCCTCAGTTAAACTAAACTTTCTGCCTCCCCCTCCCCCAGAATGTTGTCCAGTACCTACAAGAAATGTTAAACTAAACTTTCTGCCTCCCCCAGAATGTTGTCCAGTACCTACAAGAAATGTTAAACTAAACTTTCTGCCTCCCCCAGAATGTTGTCCAGTACCTACAAGAAATGTTAAACTAAACTTTCTGACTCCCTAGAATGTTGTCCAGTACCTACAAGAAATGTTAAACTAAACTTTCTGCCTCCCCCAGAATGTTGTCCAGTACCTACAAGAAATGTTAAACTAAACTTTCTGACTCCCTAGAATGTTGTCCAGTACCTACAAGAAATGTTAAACTAAACTTTCTCCCCCTCCCCCAGAATGTTGTCCAGTACCTACAAGAAATGTTAAACTAAACTTTCTGACTCCCTAGAATGTTGTCCAGTACCTACAACAAATGTTAAACTAAACTTTCTGCCTCCCCCAGAATGTTGTCCAGTACCTACAAGAAATGTTAAACTAAACTTTCTGCCTCCCCCTCCCCCAGAATGTTGTCCAGTACCTACAAGAAATGTTAAACTAAACTTTCTGCCTCCCCCTCCCCCAGAATGTTGTCCAGTACCTACAAGAAATGTTAAACTAAACTTTCTGCCTCCCCCAGAATGTTGTCCAGTACCTACAAGAAATGTTAAACTAAACTTTCTGCCTCCCCCTCCCCCAGAATGTTGTCCAGTACCTACAAGAAATGTTAAACTAAACTTTCTGCCTACCCCTCCCCCAGAATGTTGTCCAGTACCTACAAGAAATGTTCCTGAGCTCCCACAAGTGGCTGTTGAGAGGACGGGCAGATCTGGTTGGTCAGCCAAAGGTCAGCCAGCTGTTAGAGACTGCAGCCCAGAACGCTGTGGACACAGTTTTACATCAGCTCAAATATCAGCTCAATTATAACACAGTTCGGGTGAGGTGTATTTTATAAGCTTGTTGATGGCATATTTTGTTTAAATGTTTTACATCAATTTTACTGTGACTACTGGTGATATGTTTCAGTGGTGCTGGATGGTTTGACTGATAGTCATTTAGTAATACAGTTATTAGAAAATGTGAAATATAGTCTGTCTCTTCAGGTTCTGTTGGAAGCTGTATACAGTTGTTACAAAATGTGAAATATAGTCTGTCTCTTCAGGTCCTGTTGTAAGCTGTATACAGTTGTTACAAAATGTGAAATATAGTCTGTCTCCTCAGGTCCTGTTGTAAGCTGTATACAGTTGTTACAAAATGTGAAATATAGTCTGTCTCTTTAGATCCTGTTGGAAGCTGTATACAGTTGTTACAAAATGTGAAATATAGTCTGTCTCTTCAGGTCCTGTTGGAAGCTGTATACAGTTATTACAAAATGTGAAATATAGTCTGTCTCTTCAGGTCCTGTTGGAAGCTGTATACAGTTGTTACAAAATGTGAAATGTAGTCTGTCTCTTCAGGTCCTGTTGGTAGCTGTATACAGTTGTTACAAAATGTGAAATATAGTCTGTCTCTTCAGGTCCTGTTGGTAGCTGTATACAGTTGTTACAAAATGTGAAATGTAGTCTGTCTCTTCAGGTCCTGTTGGTAGCTGTATACAGTTGTTACAAAATGTGAAATATAGTCTGTCTCTTCAGGTCCTGTTGGAAGCTGTATACAGTTGTTACAAAATGTGAAAAATAGTCTGTCTCTTCAGGTCCTGTTGGAAGCTGTATACAGTTGTTAGAAAATGTGAAATATAGTCTGTCTCTTCAGGTCCTGTTGGAAGCTGTATACAGTTGTTACAAAATGTGAAATATAGTCTGTCTCTTCAGGTCCTGTTGGAAGCTGTATACAGTTGTTACAAAATGTGAAATATAGTCTGTTTCTTCAGGTCCTGTTGGTAGCTGTATACAGTTGTTACAAAATGTGAAATATAGTCTGTCTCTTTAGATCCTGTTGGAAGCTGTATACAGTTGTTACAAAATGTGAAATATAGTCTGTCTCTTCAGGTCCTGTTGGAAGCTGTATACAGTTATTACAAAATGTGAAATATAGTCTGTCTCTTCAGGTCCTGTTGGAAGCTGTATACAGTTGTTACAAAATGTGAAATGTAGTCTGTCTCTTCAGGTCCTGTTGGTAGCTGTATACAGTTGTTACAAAATGTGAAATATAGTCTGTCTCTTCAGGTCCTGTTGGAAGCTGTATACAGTTGTTACAAAATGTGAAATATAGTCTGTCTCTTTAGGTCCTGTTGGAAGCTGTATACAGTTGTTACAAAATGTGAAATATAGTCTGTCTCTTCAGGTCCTGTTTGAAGCTGTATACAGTTGTTAGAAAATGTGAAATATAGTCTGTCTCTTCAGGTCCTGTTGGAAGCTGTATACAGTTGTTACAAAATGTGAAATATAGTCTGTCTCTTCAGGTCCTGTTGGAAGCTGTATACAGTTGTTACAAAATGTGAAATATAGTCTGTCTCTTCAGGTCCTGTTGGTAGCTGTATACAGTTGTTACAAAATGTGAAATATAGTCTGTCTCTTTAGATCCTGTTGGAAGCTGTATACAGTTGTTACAAAATGTGAAATATAGTCTGTCTCTTCAGGTCCTGTTGGAAGCTGTATACAGTTATTACAAAATGTGAAATATAGTCTGTCTCTTCAGGTCCTGTTGGAAGCTGTATACAGTTGTTACAAAATGTGAAATGTAGTCTGTCTCTTCAGGTCCTGTTGGTAGCTGTATACAGTTGTTACAAAATGTGAAATATAGTCTGTCTCTTCAGGTCCTGTTGGAAGCTGTATACAGTTGTTACAAAATGTGAAATATAGTCTGTCTCTTTAGGTCCTGTTGGAAGCTGTATACAGTTGTTACAAAATGTGAAATATAGTCTGTCTCTTCAGGTCCTGTTGGTAGCTGTATACAGTTGTTACAAAATGTGAAATGTAGTCTGTCTCTTCAGGTCCTGTTGGAAGCTGTATACAGTTGTTAGAAAATGTGAAATATAGTCTGTCTCTTCAGGTCCTGTTTGAAGCTGTATACAGTTGTTACAAAATGTGAAATGTAGTCTGTCTCTTCAGGTCCTGTTGGAAGCTGTATACAGTTGTTACAAAATGTGAAATGTAGTCTGTCTCTTCAGGTCCTGTTTGAAGCTGTACTGTGTGCCCATGAGCAGGACGTCACGTCACTGTTTGCCTGTGTCTGGCCACAGGATGTGTCCAGTCTGGTCTCACAGATCTGTCTACAGCTGCAGGGGGAGGTGGCTCAAGCCTGTGGGGAGGAGTGTCTGGTCACTAGGGGTCCAGTGGTTCTCATCTTAGACAAGGTATGGGTGTCGTCACTAAAATCATAAACCCTTGAGTCCGAATAGAACTGTTGTAAATATGCTTCAAGCAGACTACATAGAAAAAGATTCTACAATTAAAGTTTGTCGTTAACTCATGTTTTCCATTATTTAACTGTCTAGATGTTGTTATTATGAAAAGCTTTTATTACTATTTCAGACCCTAAACAAAATGCCATGGGAAAGCATGCCAGATTTTTTAACAGAGACGGTGACAAGAGTTCCGTCCCTTGCAACCCTAGATGCCCTGCTGGCATTACACCAGAACAAACTGGTTTCCTCCTACAGGAGAGGTGTAGATCGTGACAGTGCTGTAGCAGTTATAGACCCAGAGACCAACCTGGTGAATGCTGTCAATGTTCTGCTGCCCCAGCTACAGCAGTAAGTTCAACACGGCCAGCACCAAGTTTTATACAACCTGAACTCTAGGATAAGCTATCATACAACTGCAGAATTGAGATGTTAATTTTTTAAAATTTTCTCGTACTTAAATTATTTATTAGTGTTACTATTTCAAAATGTGTGCCTGTGTATTGAACAATTTATTAATTAAATATCGTTAATTTTTTTTAATTAAAGTTTTCTGGAATTTTGATGTAATGAATTGAACAACTTTTTTTACCACAATTTAGGTATGATGGCTGGAACTGTTTGTCACAGAAAGCACCAACTGTCTTAGATCTGAAAGATTTTCTTTCAAACAACGCCCTATATCTGTAAGTGGTCACTTTTTTAACAATTTTTTACATTTTTGTTTCACTTTCAATAAATGTTTCTGTAAATATAGCACATTTATTTAAAAACCAATAGCATTTTACTCAAGTTACACAAATGCTCTGAAAGGAAAACTGTACCTTTAGCTGTGGAAGTTAAGAATTAGTTTATCAACTTAATTATATTAGATGAAAACTTGATTATATCAAATGTAGTTGGTGGGCCTGCCTTAATAAACTTTGGTGTTTCAGGTACTGTGGTCACGGATGGGGCAACCAGTTTGTTGGTGGGGATGACCTTCAGATGTTCAATGCCAAGGCTGTTGCTGTTCTCATGGGCTGTGACAGTGGGAAGTTGGACTACAAGCCTCGTCTAGACGGTGACGGAGGGCCTTTGTACTTTCTCTTGGCAGGATGGTCAGTCTCACATTATCTTACTATTACCTCTTTAAATCTGCATGACACATAACTTTTAATTGATATTTAAATGCCACAACAATTACATATGCTACTTGTAAAAAAGCTGGAATAATTCTTAGACCATTTTGTTCCAGTGTAGTTATCCTTAAGTTGAAAGAAAGATTGCCCAACCAGCTATTTTAGTAGAACTGTCTTAGTAGCTTTTTATTTTTATGCTATTTTCTGACTTTGTATGAAAATCATTGAGTATTTTATTTCATGATTCACTGCCAGTTTTTTAATACATATGTCAAAAGTTTGTGAATAGTTTATGATATTGTGATTTTCTAACTGGGATGTTGTTTGTTGTATAGCCCAACATGTGATTTTCTAACTGGGATGTTGTTTGTTGTACAGCCCAACATGTGATTGTGATTTTCTAACTGGAATGTTGTTTGTTGTATAGTCCAACATGTGATTATGATTTTCTAACTGGGATGTTGTTTGTTGTATAGTCCAACATGTGATTTTCTAACTGGAATGTTGTTTGTTGTATAGTCCAACATGTGATTTTCTAACTGGAATGTTGTTTGTTGTATAGTCCAACATGTGATTTTCTAACTGAGATGTTGTTTGTTGTATAGTCCACCATGTGATTTTCTAACTGGGATGTTGTTTGTTGTATAGTCCAACATGTGATTTTCTAACTGGGATGTTGTTTGTTGTATAGTCCAACATGTGATTTTCTAACTGGGATGTTGTTTGTTGTATAGTCCACCATGTGATTGTGATTTTCTAACTGGAATGTTGTTTGTTGTATAGTCCAACATGTGATTATGATTTTCTAACTGGGATGTTGTTTGTTGTATAGTCCAACATGTGATTTTCTAACTGGAATGTTGTTTGTTGTATAGTCCAACATGTGATTTTCTAACTGGAATGTTGTTTGTTGTATAGTCCAACATGTGATTTTCTAACTGAGATGTTGTTTGTTGTATAGTCCACCATGTGATTTTCTAACTGGGATGTTGTTTGTTGTATAGTCCACCATGTGATTGTGATTTTCTAACGAGAATGTTGTTTGTTGTACAGCCCAACAGTGGTGGGCAACCTGTGGGTGGTGACTGACAAGGACATCGACAAGCTGACCTCCAGCCTGGTGGCAGAGTGGATGTCACAGAAGAAGCCGGTGCCACTGAGTCACGTCTTGACGGCCGCAAGAAAGGTCTGCAGGTTGACTGGTTTGAATGGGTTTGCTCCTGTTGTCTACGGTCTGCCAGTTATGCTCAACTGCTAGGTCAGGGAACACATGGGTCAGGTTTATTTAGCAAGTTGGTTTTGTTTTTGTAAATATAACTGACTTGACACTTGTAGCTATCAATTATTTTTAGAATCTGTACAATCAGTTTAAAAAACAAGCTGCATGTGGCTAGGCTTTATTAAAACAATAAATTTGCAAATAGCTGTATTAAAACAGTAGTGTGGAAATAGCTGTTTTAAAACAGTACATGTGCAAATAGCTGTTTTAAAACAGTACATGTGCAAATAGCTGTATGAAACAGTAGGTGTGCAAATAGCTGATAAGATGAAATAGACATTATGTACTTATCATAAAATAATATTCTGGATTTTATCTTGTTGCTGGACCTTTGTGGAGGTAAATTTTTGAACAATATTCAGATACCTCATAAATAATCTAATGCACAATGTGTTTTTAGACATTTTATAATTGTGTATGCATAATTTATATTGTATAAGCGAATGATGAGAAAGCATGAGCATTTTTATCTCTGATAAAGTCATATTCTGAGTCTGGGTGATTGTGTTGGACTAGTTTTAAAGTGTGTACCCTATTTATTTGACGTGTAACTGTTTCCTTGGGTGGAGTTCAGTGTTTGGATTATTGCCCTTTGTTAAACATTTTCTTTTGTTCAATAATTTTTTAATACATACCGATGAGTAAATAAACATGAATATTGTTGAAATAAATTGGTTGAATAATTACTTGACTTGTACATGAATAAAGTGGTCGAATCATTACTTGAGTTGTCTGTTGGTGTGGCTGTAGTCCCATCTGTCTTGGTTACTGTACAGTAGTGTAAGTTGTAAGTGAGGACTGTCTCAAACACAATGTTATGGGCTCTCATACCATTGTGTCACATCTCTAGTGAGATTCTCTTGCTATATCTGGCATGAGCAACAAACAAATTTAGGGGCAGTAACTCTAAGATAATGCAATACTTTAGCACGTGCTTCATATAAGTGCAGGGGGAAATCAAATGCATCCATGAGAACTGAAATTTCATTTATTAGATCCTCGTTTTAAAGACAAGATCACGTATTCACACTTGAAGTGGTTTTAATTTTTTTATTTAATGACTTTAAATATTATAAGCGGTTCTTCGATTATGTGCATGAACGCTTGGTTGAATACGTTAAAAATATTCCAGGCGAAAGCTATTTTTATGTATTCTAAACCCCCGTCCACCCCTTCCATTTCTCTTGACCAGTGGCGTAGCGAGGTCGGGTGTCACCCGGTGCGGCACTTAATGGTGTCACCCCCCCCCCCCCAGAGGCATAGAGACCCTTCCCAGGGACAAACTTTCAAATTTTCGATTTGCACCCCCCCCCCCCTCAAACTTTCGATTTGCACCCCCCCCCCCCCTCAAACTTTCCATTTGCACCCCCCTCGAGTTTTTCTCTATATATTTTGCTATTTTTTGCCTTGGTGTCACCCCCCTAAATGGTGTCACCCGGTGCGGTCCGCACCCCCCGCCCCCCCTCGCTACGCCCCTGCTCTTGACCTATATTTACTCTAGCCGGCCAAGAACGGTGGGCATAGAATAAACAAAGCCTTTCTGTCACTACTAATATCTTTAAATAATATCGAATTCGCCGGTCCCATGAGATCCCCTGTACTCCCATAGAAAGATTGCCAGCACACAGCTAGGCTGCCGGCTTGCTATCTATTGTATTAGTGTCAGGCGAAAGCGTGGAATAATTGACACGCCGCCATTGAATTGTAAGACGTCTGCCTCATGTTCGAAATCTAATCCCACCGTTTAAAACACTCCGGCATTGTAATCGAACACGGCTTCTAATATATGGTGTGTTAGAAAATAGAATCAATCTTCTGTAGGTAAAAAGTATTTTTTTATATGCCAGCTTGTTGTTTATACAGCTGTGTTTAGGGCCGTTTCAGTTTTAAGATTTGAAACTTAGATTAAATCTCGGTTGTGTATTACTTCTAAGACAGCCTGCACTATGTGTGTGCGTGTAGAGACACCACAACATAGTTAAACCCCGTGGATTATATTTCAGCCGCGGCGTTGTGTGGATTTAAATCCAGTGGAGATGGGAACTTTTCCACAGTCTTGTTATAGGCACACGGCACGAACATGCACGCCTGACTTAAAATCTGCATTAAAAAGTTCATGACAATTTCTTCTTTGTGGCGTGGACATTCGCACGTATCTGATGATTAATTGCTAAATAAGAGATCGGTGTCACGTACATTCATTATTCATGTGAAAGCAGATTTTGCTTGCAGAAATTAAAGGAAAATGTTTAAAATACAAGTGATTCGTTGAAGTCCTGTTAAATATCAGTGAGTGTCTTAATATGGGGACGGGAGCCTCGATTTCGCATACAGGTAGGCCTATGTTACCAAATTTTATTAGGCCCTATTTAATTATCCCTTCTCCCACCTCATAAACACACGCACACACACACACATATATATATATATAGTATATATATATATATATATATATATATATATATATATATATATATATATATATATATATATATATATATATATATATTAAATGTACCAACTTGGCAACAGAACAAAACTAAACAAAGCACAAATGAAAACACAAAAACAATGTAAACACAAACACAGTGCAAACACAAATGCTAACACAAACGGAAAAAAACACAAACGCAACACGCAAAAAAAAACACAAACACAAAAGAAAAAACAAACGAAAACACAAACACAATGCAAACGCAAACACAAATGAAAACGCAAAAAACTGAAACACAAATGCTAACGCAACACGCTTAACATAAAGATAGCTGAACTGCAAGCATAAACGCATAGTGCTCACAGTCTAGCCCGGGGCGCCAAAGCGCACGTAATACCCCAACTTATCCATAAAATAAACAAAAGGCAGTAGGTCTATTTAAAATAACCGTGTTTTACCTACCACAGTGCATTTGATCAATCCATGCTAATAATATTCCAACAATAATGTCTTCTTGGACGTCTGCGAAATTTGCATTCACATTTGTGTGTGTGTGGTTGGTTGTGGTTAGGTTTAGTTTGAAGTTAGTCAGGTTTAGGATTATATCATATATAAGAACGCTGCTTACGCTTTACGTAATTAATCGCAATCGGGAAATCCAGACATTCTGCTTCAAACTGGGTAATAATCTTATCCTCCGATCTTAAAGTGCCGTCCATAAATGACGTCACGCTTTTTTTCACGGTTTGTGCAGAGTTTCTTCCAGGCATCTCTTCGGGGGGGGGGGGGGGGGGGGGGGGGGGGGAAGCTCCCACCCCCTCCCCCCCCCGAACTTTTTTTATAGCCCCCCCCCCCCCCCCCGAACGAAATTAAATTTATATAATTTATATAGAAAACATATACTTTTAACAGTGCCCCCCCCCCCGAAGAAAGTCTACCGCCCCCCTCCCCCGAAAATTTCAAGTGCCCCCCCCCCCCCCCCCCGGAGAAAAAAGTCTGGAAGAAAAAAGTCTGGAAGAAACACTGTTTGTGCATCTCCCTACCCTATGGTTATTGGTTGCACATTGTCACAAAACAGATTCCCTCTCTTCCCCCCCCCCCCCCCCCCCACCCTATTCCACGGCAGTATTGGTCACAACAATAAAAAAATCAAATAAAATATGTTTTCCATCAAAAGACAAAAAAGAAGGCATCCCGCCGTGGATCAACACAGTCCATCCCCCAAGCAACACTTTTTATGACACGTTCGGCGACATGGCACAGGGGATGCAACTCTTAGCTATCAACACTGTTTGCAGAAATAGGGCAGGGCAGAGCGAGACAGACGCTGCCCAATGGAAGAAAGGATTTAAATCAGGTGACACATTTCGACTAACATGTTCTCTGTATACTGACTTTTTTTTTCTGTTTCAGTATTTTTGGTATCATACAGTGTGTTCTGTTGCATAATGTGCGCTTGTACGATTATATTTAAAAAAATAAGAAAGTAAAAAGTTAAACCAAGTTCGATCTAGCTAGATCTAGAAGTTTATATGAATAAGAACAGGCTATATCATCTTTTAGAAAGCATTTTTTGGTAAATTGTGATACAGTTTATATAGAAGTCTACAGGTTGATTCATATTTTATAACGGTGTCGAGCCTTTCGCTATAATGTATTAATTAGTATCATGTAATGTTGAGTTATGTTTTCGACAATTTTCAACCTAGTGTAAGTATAGCACTAGAAAATTAAGGTTATTATACAAATAATTTGTAGTATGTAGGTTTTTTCAATTTGTTATATCCCTTTATTAAGGGAAACCACTCAGTTAATATTTCAGAAATAATCCAATTTAAAAAAAAAAGAAAAGTTGCAATCTGTGATGGGGAGGCATGAGGGAGTCAAGACTTTTTTGTGACGATAGGGTGGAGGGATAAAAACGGCAAAAAAAAAAACTGAACATCATTTATGGAAAATTCAGTTTATAGTGTGAAAGATGTGTTGATATGTATCATGATCAGTGATGTAGAGATCTGCTTGCAAAAACTTCTCAACTACCATTCCATTTCCCTAAGAGTTTATTTATAAATGAACATGATTGAATTACAAGGAACTGTACTTGATTTCATGTAAAGTTCTTTCAACAACATTTAATTTCATTTCATTTATGTAGTAAAAACTTAACGTTTAACTGTCTAATGTGTCTACACCTTCATTTATCTTAAGAAATATGTTCTGAATAAAAATAAAACTGTTCATATTGTGTTTGCTTCACTGCAGCATTTTAATATATATTTATTCTCTATGTGTTTTCAGGCAAACACGTATTTGAAATAGCATTCCCTGTATCATATAGAGGCAGGGAAGCTTCTGTTGGTGTGGGCTACAAGGACTGCCCTCTGTGTGTGAAGGGCAGGGTTTGTTTGGTGGGCTACAACACCAGGTCATGGGGCATCAGCCTCACCAGACGAAAGTCAATGCACAACAACACAGAGGCCAGCAGATATCCACACACAATGGTCAGTGTTCTACTGTTTGATACACACAATGGTCAGTGTTCTACTGTTTGATACACACAATGGTCAGTGTTCTACTGTTTGATACACACATTGGTCAGTTTTCTACTGTATGATACACACATTGGTCAGTTTTCTACTGTATGATACACACAATGGTCAGTGTTCTACTGTATGATACACACAATGGTCAGTTTTCTACTGTATCATACACACAATGGTCAGTTTTCTTCTGGACCATACACACAATGGTCAGTTTTCTACTGTATGATACACACAATGGTCAGTTTTCTACTGTATCATACACACAATGGTCAGTTTTCTACTGTATGATACACACAATGGTCAGTTTTCTATTGTATGATACATACAATGGTCAGTTTTCTACTGTACCATACACACAATGGTCAGTTTTCTACTGTATGATACACACATTGGTCAGTTTTCTACTGTACACACAATGGTCAGTTTTCTACTGTATGATACACACAATGGTCAGTTTTCTACTGTATGATACACACAATGGTCAGTTTTCTACTGTACCATACACACAATGGTCAGTTTTCTATTGTATGATACACACATTGGTCAGTTTTCTACTGTACACACAATGGTCAGTTTTCTACTGTATGATACACACAATGGTCAGTTTTCTACTGTATGATACACACAATGGTCAGTTTTCTACTGTAAGATACACACAATGGTCAGTTTTCTACTGGTGTAAGTCAGCTGTACTATATCCAAAATACCCAATTATTTTTAGTGATTAAATTCAACTGCAGATTATATTTACATTCTCTGGTTTATCATTTGGGGGTCATCTATTTATGATTTTCATATAACAGTGGTGGGGTGGTTCCAGTAGAAATGTTTTTGATTAAGAATATTGACAGCCATTTTAGGATGGTGAGGAAGGGGATAAAAGTTAAGTCTTTAATGACATTTTTATTGACATATTAAATGGATAACCCCTTATAAATCTGCTACATCTGAACCACAATCTCTTCATGTTTAGACATGGAATAAAAAACTGTAAATATCAAGCACTGATGGATGGGATCTGTCTTCCAAGAAATAAACTTTAGACATCTGTCATACTTACTTACTAACACTAACAGCAAATGTTCATGATTTGCAAACTGTTCAACTTAAATATTTGAAAAAGTCCATAGAAATTTGACTAAGATAGTTTTAATATAGCTGGTGTAAGTTGCATTGTTTGTGTACATATGTAAATTAGTTGAATGCTTGTTTTCAGGTGTTTCTGCCAGATAAATTCTACATGTATTTAGATGCGGATGCCGGAACTCTTCAGTTTGGGTCAGACGAAGACTTTTATGGCGTAGCACATTCTGATATTAACATGAGTCAACCAGTTCACCCCATGGTCTCGGCCTGCAGTCAAGGAGCGACCATCACACTTGTATATAGGGGCAAAGGTCAGATTTTTAAGTTCACTTTCTGGTTAAAATAATTACATTTGTGAGCTAAGCAACTGGTCACAAACCTTACCTCAGATTTGTGTACATGAGCAATGTGCGCAGTAACTGGATTTGTGTACATTAGTGTCGTTTACAGTAACTAGATTTGTGTACTTTAGCTATGTGTGCAGTAACCAGACTTGTTTACATGAGCCCTGTGCGTATTAACCAGATTTGTGTACAGCAACCAGTAAGACAGTTTCCTAAATCATCTTTAAATTCTACCACAATTTAACTCACATCATACAACCATTGTTTATGGGGTTGAAAAACAAAATTAGTTCTACTAATACAATTTTGCAAAAAATGAGTTTTTAAAAGTTGGTTTACTTCTTTACTTAAATTAAATGGGCACTTTCCAGTTTACCTGGAAAAATAAAATGTGATAGTTTTCTGTATCAGCAACAGCCAAAACAAACGGCTTCCTAATAAACTAATTAAGTGTACAATATTAGTCTAATTTCTAAGCTGTTCCTTACAAATTTATCTTTCTTTTTTGCCAATTTTGTTTCCAAGGTGTTGTCAGAAAAGGCCCAAGTCAAAGGCGAGAAAAAATCAAAACAAGTTACAAAGATTTCAGAAGGAAATTTAGTTAATAAATCATTGTTGTTGTGTAATTAACAATCTACATTAGAGTAATTTTATATTAAACGTTTTAATTAAGAATGAGTTGAGAAACAGTTAAATATTCATGTAGTGAAAGTATCTAGTGCAGTTTACAAAGATGACTCCTTACATCAGTAACCAGGACTATTTACAAGAATAAGATAATATAAGAATAACAATAAGACTTTGGTACATACAAATTTATTAAAGATTTTTCTCTGTGACCAAGAGACAAGCACAGCTGTAATAAAAGAATGTACACAAACAGACCCAACAGCACCGTGCCCTGGGGTGGGGCTGTGACGAGGCTCCCACCGGTCTGGGAGAGGCAACAGCACCATGCCCTAGGGTGGGGCTGTGACGAGGCTCCCACCAGTCTGGGAGAGGCAACAGCACCATGCCCTGGGGTGGGGCTGTGACGATGCTCCCACCAGTCTGGGAGAGGCAGCGTGTTGAAAGGTGCTGGAGCTATAAGCTGGCGCAATTCACACACAAATCATGCAGGCAATGGTCAAAACAATCTTAGTTGTCCTTAACATTTTTAAACAGAAACCAAAAGAAGCTATACGTTAGAGATGTTCTTTAATATTTTAAAAAATGTTATCAGAACGAGTTAATTCTGAAATTAATAACATTGTAATAATTTGCAATTTTCAACTTGCGGTAAAGTTTAGTAAGTGTCACTAATAAACAAGATAGAAATCTTGTTAGGAAAAAAATTAAGGCAATTGGTGTCTTCAAGATCAAATGATGATTCAAACATGGAAAAAATCTTCCCCGCACACCTAAAGAACAAAATGTTTGAATTCGTCTACAGCATTAATAAAACTGTCTATACCCACTCAACTGATAGCAATCAAATTAGGTGGTGCAATGGTTTGTTAGTTGGCTACCTACTGCGTCTAATCAAGAACTTTAACAAAATGTGGAATTGATGTCTTTAAAATTTATTACATTTACAAATCTCACAAACCAAACAAGAGCACTTAGTTGTTTTGAAAAGAAACAATTTGACGGGCAAGACTTTGCTAGACAGAGAAAAACTAACAGAAAAGCAATCACCATAACAAATGGCAGACATACATAATAGGCATGATATTTACAGAGGAAAAGTATGATGCCTAGACTACAAACAAGTACGAGAATCATCTTTTCAATTCAACTCGACATAATGGTAGACTAGGGGAAGAATCAGTGGCCACTGAGCTATTACTTTGATAAGCATCTCTGCCAAGTTTCAAGTCATACAAAGAAAATTTTGCCTGGTCAACTATTTAACTTGTAAGGTAAATTAAATTGTACTTTTCTCCATATAATCATATAGTAATCTGTATTTGGTATATTTTATCAAGTTTCCTACAGCAATACAACCCAGTAAAACTAGAAATAAATGAGAATAGTGCAAGAAGTATAAAATACAAGAAAGTGTTACAGTAAAATATTAACACAAGTTTTATAAAGAAAATGGGCAACACATTTAACTCTGAAAATATGTATAGTTTGTTTAACAAGTATATATATATAAAACTGTAGGTAATTAAAGGTGTTTACAGTATTGTCATAACAATAGAATAAACATAAACAACTTTAAATGTATTTCTTAGTAACATATGCCAAGTTTTCCAGAGTACACAATTAAAAAGTATTTATAGTCTAAAACATCCGTTTTTTGCAAGCATTTTAAAAATGTCTTTCAAGACATTAAAAAACGTACAAGTATTTAAAAATCAATTTAAAATTATTTGATAGGAAATCAAAACCAGACAAAACTATGTTACAAAGATTGAAAATCTTTAAAACCTTTTTTATTTCCACACTGCAAATCTGGGCCAATATGGAGCTTACTGCCGGTGCTATTTCAGAGCCAGTCCAGCATTTCTGTAACGCTGAAAGACTATTGAAGCTACTCAATACATAAAAATAGGATTCAGCTGGCGATACATATATTATATTGTAGGGAGATAAGCTCTTCATGTTCTGGGGTGTCAATACAATTTCTTCTGGTTAACTATCTGAATATCCTTGCACTGTTTCACAATAGCCTACTCCAGCACAACTGGAGACCCCAGTCAGGCCAAGGTTTGCAAGCAGCCTTCAACATTATGTTTGTCAACTAACTTGGTGAGTCAATTATTATGCTTGCTCGATTTATAAGTCTCTGAAGGTTGTACCAATTACCACCAATGCTGAACTCTTACATTTTCTTAACAGACGAGTCAACTTCAAACATTTACTAAATGTTTATGTTGATAAAGCAAGAGAATGACAAACATCTTCAACAAACCAATGTTTCATGTACAAGTTGATTTGATGGCTTTAAGATATTCAATAAACAATTTCAACACATTTATGAATAGACAAGTTTTAACAGTTAATTTTTGTAATATCAAAGAGACAAAGTTATACACACTTCTCTTGATGTAGAAATTTCTAGTTTTTTTTCTTCTTATTGATTGCTTCATATTTTATCTAGTCTGATGCTTAGCAAAAAAAAAATTACAACTGTTCTAGTATGTTATTAGCAATTTCATTAAAATTTTAATACTTAATTTTTGGAAAAATGAATAATTCATCTCTGCAAGTGATAATGAAAATGCACTAAGAACTTGAGCAAAAAACGTTTGCAGTGGTCAGTGAACCCATGTTTACATCACATCATGTGATCAATTAACAATGTTGCTGTGATTACATCTTGAATAGTAGCATATTGCAAGTAACTAAATAAACTTAAAATAAACATTGTCATTTGTATGTTACTTTTCTAAATACTAATTCTAGTAAACAAATGAGTAGTTTAAATGCAAATATAGATACAGAAGCTTGTATTTGTACAATAGAAAAAGGGAATTAATTTTTCAAATCACGTCAAAGCTTTATTTTGACACCATACAAATAAATACTTCATTAATCAAGGTTTATTTATGTCCACTTTTGCATCCAAACTCTTTAAAAATCACTATAAATTTGTTGCTAGACTAAAATTGCAGGCTGTCCCTCTAGTTGATTCTCTCAACATAGTTAGAGGGCAGCATGCCATGTTGACCTGTGCGCTGGACCGTCCCAATCATCCAGCCAGCGTCCACTACTTCTACGTCCACGATATGGTCACCATCCTGGAAACTGACTTCATCGCTGTCAGCAGCTGAATAGTCATACAGGGCACGGTAGATCACCTTCTTAGGGGGTGCCTGGGCAGCTCTGGGGGGCTGGGCCTGAGGTGCTGCAACAGTCAAACCATCAATTACTTCAAGAACGCAACATTCACTACACCAATTTAAAATTTCAATTAAATATGTATTAAAATTTTAGCGAATATGCAAATTTTAATACTTAAAGTGAAATATTTCTGTTTTATGAAATGATTATGAAGAAATAAACAATATAAGCAAGACTTAAGCAACATAAATGTAAAAAATACAAGAATTCTGCCACAATGTTGTGGACGTGATCTAAGGGGGATAACTAAGGTAACTGCACAACAAATCAGGGAAACAATCAAAGACTTGAGGTAACAACAAAAAGTTTCCAGGAAAAACTAGAGGGTATTTAGCAAGTTACAGAGGATGTTCACACTGAGAAATTATGTCTCCATTGTATAGCAATATTACTGTAAACATTTATTTTACTCAGGGTAATTGGAGAAATTATGTCTCCATTTTATAGCAATATTACTGTAAACATTTATTTTACTCAGGGTAATTGGAGAAATTATGTCTCCATTTTATACCAATATTACTGTAAACATTTATTTTACTCAGGGTAATTGGAAAAACTATAAGTTTAATTGGTTGTCAGTAAATTTTAGATGTATATATATAAATAATGGCATATATAATTATATGTAGTATATTATAAAAGCAATATATTTATGCAAATTATTCTTCAAGCAAAGTTTATATCATTTGTGTAATTGTAGAAAAAAAAGGAAGCAAATATATATACATATATCTATATATGTATACAAAATATAAGCCATTAATAGCCCCAATAAGCTGATGTGTGTAAATGCAAATAAAATAAAAATCCCAGAAAGAAAAAAAATGTAAAAAATTATCAAAAAATAAATTTTTAAATTCTAAAGGTAATTAACTGATGAGTGAAAAGCTGATGAGAAATGGGCAAGTAACATTTAAGTTTAAATGATAGTGGTGAGTTGCTGATGGTAATGGCAAATACAAGAATGTGGTGACAAATTTGAAACAAGGCCAACCTAGGGGTAGGACGGTAGACAAATGAGGCTAGTTTGAAGAGACTTACGGGGTGGCTGGTAAGCCAGAGGCAGGGACTGACCATAGCTGTTACGTACCACCGAGCTGTGTTGCTGGTTCAATGGGTCATAATCAGCTATTGAACCTGGCTGGATTCTCTGACCATGCACTGATGTGACCAAGGAAATAAGGCACAGGTATTTAAGCGGCCCTGACACAATGTCTTTACTCTTTCATCTTAAGGCTTATGTACTAGTTCTCACACTACGTAACATAACCATGGTATTTGGTGTATGTACTAGTTCTCACACTAAGTAACATAACCATGGTATATGGTGTATCTACTAGTTCTCACACTATGTAACATAACCATGGTATTTGGTGTATGTACTAGTTCTCACACTAAGTAACATAACCATGGTATTTAGTATATGGACTAGTTCTCACAATACGTAAAATAACCATGGTATATAGTGTATGTACTAGACCTCACACTACGTAACATAACCATGGTATTTGGTGTATGTACTAGATCTCACACAATTACCCATGTGACATAAGCATAGCATTTGGTGTATGGACTAGGTCTCATGGTATTAATCATAAAAAATAACCTTGGTATACCACCATGACCAAGGTAACTGTCTTTGAGAACTTATGATTCAAAATAACAAAATAAAAGGTTTTTTCCTATGATTTAAAAGCTATTTAAACTATGAAATATATCACACCTCGCAGCCAATATCGCACAAGTTTGATTATCAATTAATACTTCACTTTTAATGTGAGTATTCTTTTAAGCTCTACAAAGGGACAAAGATTGAAATAGATAAAATGAATGGTGACTAGTGTACCAAATTTTAACTCCCCTTATAAAAAATAGAAAATAACTTCCCTTTCAATATTGGAAGAAATGAAGTAGCTTTAATGTTAGTTTTAAAAAATCCTCTAGAGACCAAATTTAAGAGTGTGACATACATAAGCCAAGCCTGTTAGTTCCTTACACAGCAAACAATGTTATAGCATTCAGACAACAGATTTTAAACACTACACCATATTTAACACTGAAAGCTGAAATCTTATCAAGATTAGCTACGATTTAGGAGGTAAATAACAGACAAAAATGAATAGTTAATTAAGTGAGGTATAAACTAGTCTTTTAAGTTAAGTATTAAAATAGTTCCATTTTTTTAAATTGTTAATTATTTCATGAGTCGATTCTAGCAATTAGAAAAAAATTTAGTTTTGTTTCAGTAGTAATAACTTTTCAAAAAATGAAGTTTATTGTTAGTTTTAAGTGTAAAGAAGGTCGTTAAGTTAGTTATAGTTTGACATTTCAAACAGTGTTGTATTACAAGTATGAGATAAAGCAGAACAAACATCCAGAGTAGAAAACAAAAACCAAACACTAGCTAGACTACAATGCTAGGACTGCAGAGTCAGATAATTATTTCCCTTTAAAAAATACACTTTTTTTTTAAAGTTAATTATTTACGGCCCAGTGATTAATTATTTAACTGGACTGAGTGCATTGTCAATCTGCTGATAACATTTAAACATTTTTTTTGTTGTGTGCATGGTCTTCTCTGGTGATCAACAGCTATGGACTAACACAAAGCTTTCATTGAGTATTCACTACACCTTCTGTATAAGATTCAAGCTTTCTATCTTGGATACAAATATATTCTTCCACAACAATAGGTTGAAGACATGCAACAAGTTAGATAGAATAAACTCCTTTGTAGGCAAACAGCTACTTACTTTTGTATCCTAATCATGCCAAATTGTTGTCATTAGGTATAGAGAAAAAAATAACATTCAATCATTTTTATCTACTAAAACTACATGCTTTAAAACATAATTACTCTCTCATGCTGAAGAGCTCTTTCATAGAGTTATTTAACATTAACTTTACACATGATATGGAACTTGGTTGTATGTGTGTATTTTAGCCACCGTTTAAACAGATGAACTTTATCACAGACATACAGTGCCATCTCACAAAGCTTAAAACAAAAAAAATGTATTCATAGTTTCAACCTAATCAAAGTATTGAGGTCATTAGCAGCATTCATTTGATTTCTTCACAATTAACTGGAATAATGGCATGTCATTTGTAAACAATGAACACATGTCAAGCTACCAGAGGGGTTCAAACTTTCATTCTCTCACAGACAAACGATACCACTCAAAAATTAAAGAGCTCAATGTATGAGCTAATTATACCAATGATTTATTCATACACATAAAACAAAGGGCCTGTTGATAGGAAGAATCAGGGACAGAAATAGAAGAAAGTGACTCCAGTATGGGTAAAACACTACTCTGTATGTGAAAGAGTTCCAGTGAGGGACTAAGGTCAACCTGTTGTTGGAGTGATGATAACACAAGTTCACACAACATTAACAACGGCATGGATAACATAATATTTGCATTCACTGCGGTAATGGATTGGTTTCATAATAAAAAAAAATGCAAGTTAATTGGATCTCATAACAAGGTTAAAAAAAAAAGAAAAAGCAAATTATAATCCATTAATCAAAAGCTAAAAATGTGTTGTGTATTTTAACAAGTCTTTTGCTTAAACTTTTCAGTTTCCTAAGACATACTGTTATGTTTTACTAATTTTAAAAAACTATAAATAAAATATATTTTCAAGGTAAACAAAAATGCAATTAAAATTTAAAAAAAAATAAGCTTCATAAAAGTTTGTTGTGCATCTACATTTTAATGATATGTTTGGTTAATGAAGTGTGTGAATATTTTCACTACTGGTATAATTAGAGCATTATATAAGCCTGCTTGTTTGTTACACAATGATCAGACAGACAAATAGCAGACTATCAACAGACAAACAAATGGCTATGTTATGACAATGAATCAATTAGTATGGAAGCAAGTTTGGCAGCCATTAAAACCCACAGACAGGTTAACTACTGGAAAAATATCTGAAACACAAGGAAATCTGGCCAGAATTTTCCTGTCATTTTCTCTAAACAATTTACATTTTCTTGATACGTCAAATATTTTAATATCTAGATTGACTAAATTCAATTTAGAAGAGATTTCAATACTCCAAAAAAACTTGGTTGGTGATGGTGTATATAAAATATAACTAGTTAAAAAAAATATAGGTATGCTAAATTTCTGAATGGAAAATTCTGGCTTAAATAAAGAAAAAAACATCCATATTAGATCCCTATGTAAAAAAGTATTAGGATATATTTAAAACGTATTAGAAGTGTCAGTCAGGTTTACAAATATCTCTCAGTAGCAGGGCCCCATGCCAACATGCCACTTGTTATTTGTTCGGAAAGTAACATTTACAGATGTAATAAACTAGTTATTTTTAGAAACTTTTTTTAAAACATTAAATTTTTTTTATTGAGAGTACAAAATAGCCTCCCCTTATTTGTCAACTCCAAGAGATCCAATTTGTAAACCTTGCATAAGTGCATGTCTAATGATTAAAACAAGCTGATGGTAAAGGTTGTAGAGCCTAGTGGTCAGCAGTATATGCCCTGGACCCAGAAGGAAGGCCAAGCCATACTCACTGGGCTCCTTGTAAGAGGTGCGTGCCTCACCATAGCCTTGGGAGCCAGCACCATAGCCACTACCACTAGAGGGATTACTAGCATAGCTATTCCTCTGCTCCACAGAACCAACACCATGGCCGGAGCTACGAGGGCTGGGGTTGGACTCCCCAAAACTGTTCCTACCCTGAGCAGGGGCATAGCTATACGGCTGCTGCTGAGGCTCCCCGTAACTTGGTCTCTGCTGGGCATAGCCGTCCTCCTCATAGCTGGACCTGTTCTGGCTACCACGCCCGGGGGGAGGGGCACCAGTACCACCACCGTAGCTAAAGGGCTGGTGCCCACCTGGACTAGGGCGGACATTGCCCTTGGGTGCAGAACTCCTCAAGTCTCCTTAAACAAGACAAACCAGAGGCTTGAAACATGACACAACATTTTATATTCTAATGACTCGGGTGCCAGGTCTGTCCTCATGTCTCCTTAAATAAGACAAACCAGAGGCTTGAAACATGACACAACATTTTATATTCTAATGACTCGGGTGCCAGGTCTGTCCTCATGTCTCCTTAAATAAGACAAACCAGAGGCTTGAAACATGACACAACATTTTATATTCTAATGACTCGGGTGCCAGGTCTGTCCTCATGTCTCCTTAAATAAGACAAACCAGAGGCTTGAAACATGACACAACATTTTATATTCTAATTACTCTGGTGCCACTAAACTCTAGCAGGTCTGTCCTCAAGTGGCTGACTGGATCAGTCAAATCTGTTTTCCTAAGGACCAGCTGAAACAACAGCTGTAGATAGAGCTTACAAATCTAGTGTTGTCAAGAGAAGAGAGTGAGACAAGAACATCTAACACATGCACATTTGTATTGCTACAGTTGACATATTTATAAATGTTATAGCACATTGCTGAAACATAAACATACAAGTTATAACATCAATGAAAAACATCATGAAACCAAAGTTTGCGCCCAGTACAGCATGCACCGTCTAACACAACACAAAAACCAAAAAAGATTAGGTTTTAATAACATGCAGGCTGTGTACATTCATTCACCCATGAGGACCAGCTAAACTTCATTCAACTAAAAACTCTTGGTCTCTACCAAAAATGGCTACAGTTTTTAACAGGAGAGACTAGCGAGGGGAAAAAAATTGATCTACTAAAAAAAACCACTAAAAAGTTGTGTCTGTAACTGATCAGCTGAGAGGTGAATCTTATTTAATCATGTTTAACTATACAAAATCTGTTAAAAAAACACTCTGAATGAACCCTACCTTCTCCTCTCTGTGAATCATACACAACATTAGCAGAGTTCCGCTGTGTGTATGGGGAGTCAAAATCCTGTCTCTCAGTGGGGTCGTAGTCACTAATTTTGCCAGGGTTACGGGACCGTCTTGTCACTATAGAGGAAGGCACCCACAAGGCATGCAGGGAAGTGAAAAAGGCTGAGCTAGTCAAGCAACATCACTCAGGTACAAACACCAGGTAAATAAACAAGAAATAAAACGCCACTGGGACACCAAACAGGCCTCCTGCCCCCACTGGAGGGTTGGAATAAGCTCTGACAACATTTTCTACACATTTTTTATAGATACATCACAAAATAATTGGAGAAAAATTATTTTTACATTTATTTTAATAAAATTTCAATATAATTTACCCATAGTTAATAGCACAAAAAAGTATAGTGCCTTCATTCACAGTAATAATAAATAAAAATTTTCAGTTAAAAGGGGGTGAAATACTGATTTTTCTAATACAACATAAATGGAGGGGTCTGTTCATATTATAGATAAAAATTGTTTTAAAATAAATTATTTTAGGTGATTTCCAATGGGACAGTTAGTGCTTTTCCACATTACAGAGCTGTCTTCCCCCAATTTGGAATAGAATTAATGTCTTTAAGTGCTACATGAGGCAATATGGTCAAAGCTTATTCCTGTCCTCACAAAATGAATAAAGTTAGAAATGGGTGGCATCAAAGCATTAGACTGGAAATACTTCTAGAACTTGTGTTATCAACTTTGGTAACAAAAGCATCATCATTGAACTAAATTTCATTGCAAATCAAGGCTTTAAAAAAATCTTCAACTCTTGTTATCTTGGCCAAACAAAGCTGGGTATAAAATTTAAAAAATAATAGTTTGAAAAATAAAGTTCTCAAAACTAAAACAGCCTGAAGGGTAGCCAAGATCGCCATTTATTTTTGCTGTTTCAATTGATTATTTTTTTAATAAAAACACCATTCTCGTATAAGCAAACTAAAAAATCTATTTTGCTCCAACGTCTAAAATAAACCAAGCTTAAGTAGTGAGTGAATCTCTACAACAGCATGACTGTATCTAAGAAAGGGAGTCCATCAAACAGATTGTACTGCAATAAACGTTTCAGTTAAAATAAAAACTACACCAGATTTCAAAAGTACAAACATCATGACCACTGGTATATGTATGAAAGTAGTAAACGTAACTTCAAGTGTATGGATGTCCTGACTACTGATTCATGTATGAAAGTAGTAAATTAAACTTAAGTATATGGGTGTCCTGACTACTGATTCATGTATTGAGGATAGTAAACATAACTTCAAGTGTGTCCAAACAACATATTCATGTTTGAAAGTAGTAAATGAAACTGAAGTATATGGATGTTCTGACGAGAGATTCATGTAAGAGGGTAGTAAAGGGAGCAAACTGTCCAAGCAGCAAGGACCCTCCAAAGGTTGAGCTAAAGAGACCAAGTTGAGATGATTTAAACATGAGCTTACACCCAACTTACAAAGGTCATTGACTGCTGACAGAAATAAATTGACATGTTACTGCATTTAAAACAAATTGATTGATAAAGTCATCTCATAATGTATCCTGACCAATTTTATATAGTAAACAAACCAAATCTAAAAGCATTTTGTTAAGCCTGTACATTCTATTTTAAGGTATCAATCTAAACTTTGTTAAATAATCCTGTAATATCAACTGTTGTAACAAGAGTATTCCCCCTTTCATAATTAAAAACATCATTTACTAAGATTTATATTTTATTCTTCTGTAGATTTGCTTTGAGCAATATTTACTTTTGAAATGATATTTTTTAAACAGTTGTTTTTGTGATTTGCAGCAAGCAGGGCCCTAAGTGTAGTGCTGGATGCTATTATATGACACCACTGTGTCTATTTATTCTTCATGCTGCAATAATACATCGCATGCCCATAGAACTTAACTGGCCTAGCACAGATAATATTCAGCATGACTGATCTGGCCACTCACCATCGTCCACTGATTCGTTGGGTCTCCTGCCCTCCATCTGTTCTCTCTGCTCCTTCAGACCCCAGTAGTTTACATTAGACTGAATCTGAGTGTTTTGTTTAATCCTTGACGTCTCAGGATCATCTGCCACGGAGGTCTTAAATCCTTTCTGCTTCTCAAATTCTGCATGATACTGGACCTGCACACAAATAATTCACAGTTAAGCTTTTTTTAAATTTCAATTATGATAATTTTTGGTAGGCGAAGTTGTATTTATAAATTAATCACATTTATTTTAAACTTCCTACACATAAGTGGCAACATAAATATAAAACATTTCACCACAACTTTTAAATGAAATCTGTAGCAGCTTTGCATTAATAAAATTACAGTTTGTTTCTTTCTACAATAAATTCATTTGTAACTGGTTTTTAAATCCAGCTGAGATAGGATTTTCTTGATTAAAAAAATTGTGTGAGTTAAAAAACCAATAGCAAGGATAAATCTCAGGGACAGATAGACAAGTTGTGCATCAAGTAGATCTATCACTGCAAGATGGTTGTCAATAGTTTACTATCTGCATGCCAAATCATTTTTTGTACACTATGTAGGGGAGCAAACGAAGGGTGTCTTTTTTAAATGTAATTCATATAAGAAACCTGTTTATTGGAGGGTGAATGACAAGTGACATGCTTTTTGTGGACTTAATTGATCAATTAAATCATGCCCACTCTGGTTCAACAAAATCAATCAATAAAGGATTTTTCTTGTCTTTTTCACAACCAACTACTTCAAACTTTTATCTCAGTACATGGTACATTTAAAATAAATAAGGATCTATCAACTACTAATTGTTTTTCACATCTTGGAACTATAAGCTAATTTGAAGGCTATCTAAACATAAGGTTTTAATTTTTCTTAAAATGCTGTTGTCTTTTCATCATTCAAGCACTATTTGAAATAACAAACCATTGGGGGAAATAATTTAAAAAAAAAATTCTCTTCAGGTTTAATACTGTATTTTTTTTCTACATGAAAACCATAAGACTAAATCTTATGCAGTTGGGAAAACCATAATCTAATCACACTGAGGTAGAAAAGCCACATGATCTCATGATGTGTAGGTTAAAGGATGTGTGGGTCACATGGTTTCATAATGTGTATGTCACATGATCTCATGATTGTGTAGATCACATGATCTCATGATTGTGTAGGTCACATGATCTCATGATGTGTGGGTTACGTGATCTCATGATATATGGGTCACATGATCTCATGATTGTGTAGGTCACATGATCTCATGATTGTGTAGATCACATGATCTCATGATTGTGTAGGTCACATGATCTCATGATGTGTGGGTTACGTGATCTCATGATATATGGGTCACATGATCTCATGATTGTGTAGATCACATGATCTCATGATTGTGTAGGTCACATGATCTCATGATGTGTGGGTTACGTGATCTCATGATATATGGGTCACATGATCTCATGATTGTGTAGGTCACATGATCTCATGATGTGTGGGTTACGTGATCTCATGATATATGGGTCACATGATCTCATGATTGTGTAGGTCACATGATCTCATGATGTGTGGGTTACGTGATCTCATGATATATGGGTCACATGATCTCATGATTGTGTAGGCACATGGTCTCATGATGTGTGGGTCACATGATCTCATGGAGTTTGGGTGGGTACAACTCACACACACCAAGAGGTTGTCAATCCCCTGCAACACATGCTGTGACATGTTATACCAAACTAAAGTTCTTGGCATTCAAGTTGTGGCGCTGCATTTCTATTGTGTCTGCTACAACATAGATCTTGTCCTTAGAGGCTTCATATTCACTGTGGTATTGGATCTATAGAGTGGCAGTTAGGTATTGGACTTAGTGAGGGCATCACTGAAACATCCATGACCAAATTCTGCACATTTAATTGCATACAATTTTAAAATATAATATTTCTCAATTTATTAACAATTTTTAAAAGTGTAAGGCTACTTAGAAGATGCAATGGATAAAAACTAGTTTTTGGTCCATGTCTCTCATAATAGCAGGGGCTTAGAAAACTTTTAAAGGGGGATTATTTATTTTATTGTTAAGTATTTTATAATTAAGTTCTCTGCTTTTGCTAAAATAGTGAACTTTTTTTGGCTTCAGTTGTTAGTTTTTTTAAATCATTTTTACATTGTGAAAAAGACGTTTTTTAAGTTAACCATTAACTATACTATGCTGACTAATGTCTTTACTGGACCCATCAGTCTCGGCTAGTCAGTTAATGAGTTAATGGTCACATCAGATCTAGATTATAGATCTAAATTTAGATCTAGAATCTACTTCACCACAGATTTATTCATTTATTATGTCATTTAATTTATGAGATAGTCATATGATCACATATCTGAATCATATTATTATACCAGACGTTCTCAATCAAAATGGACTTTCATAAAAAATAGTAAATACAATATATTTGTACATATAGATCTACCCTTAAATGTTATATTAAGCAGAGATAACTAAATCGTAAATAAACACAGGTTTGTCCGTGTTCTAAATTTTAAATTTCTATTTTTAAAAACCTGCCGATGTTGCCCAGATTCCTTTAAATAATCCATTTGTTGAAACAAGCGGTTAAAAAACAAATGCTGGCCAGGTGTTTGCGCATTTTCTGTTCAAAACAAGTGGTGTGATATTAGTCTTAACAGGCTAAACAAGTGGTGTGATATTAGTCTTAACAGGCTACACAAGTGACGGGCAACTTAAAAAAAAAAAAATCACTGTTTCTTTTAGACCTCGAGTCGTTTGACAGATTAGGCTATCCAATACCAGATAGACAGCTAGCAGCAGACAGCTAAATATAGCCTAGCAGAGCTTCGGACACACGAGGCTTACACTTTTAATGGGGGGGGGGGGGGAGTGATCAAGATGGGTGGTCACTGCAGACAGAGCATAGTCTGAGCTGACGTCAGCATCCAAATTACAGGCGACAGAAACGGGGTTCTATTACTAGACCTAAATGTGGATCAAGAGAAAGAAGGGCGATAACCAAGAAACACTGCTGGAAACAATGATTCAACACGGATGACGCTGATCTAGTAAAACCTCGACTGTCCGTTACGTTGGAGAACTGGGTACTTAATGAGTTGCTGACAGAACACGCGTGATTAACGATCTACTTAACATATATATTTTAAGCTAAAGCAGCACCAAATAAACATACACATTAAATGTGTATTATATAGGCAACAACAATTTCGCTAAAAGTACTTTAACGGATACAAGGTTGATCATATCAGAAAAGTAAAAAGAAGCACCAACAGCTGTGGGAAAGCTATCATCATTTTTTTTCGATGATTGATAGATTTATATATGTAACACTCATATATCTAGTCCAGATATAGGCCGATGGCTAGAAATTAATGACCGCTAATATGACCATGGGTTGGCAGCGGTTACAGCAGCTGTATGTCGTCACAATGACACAATATAAATTACAGTTATCTAACTTTAGAACGATAACGGAAACATTCATGAGAAAGGCCGACTTGTGTGTTGGGCTATGCCGAGCATGGAAGAGGAGGCTAATCAAATATAGTTTGAGCGAAGCTCGTGTCTGCTGTGTTTGAGCGAGGCTAGCGTAGGGGAGACAACAAACAATTACAACACCTTTAGTAACAAGCTATTCAAATGTGGGGGTTGTTTTTTCTTTGTTTATACACGATAGTAACTATGACCTAAATTTAACCGACCTTGGTTCAAAAATACTTAATTTCGCAATGATTTTTAAAGTTACATTTTTTTTTATAATTATTCGTGGCATCATAACATTCGTTCTCAAGGTGCCAATAATTTATCAATCAATGAAATGTAGGAGCCTCTAAACACAACAGCAATATCTATCTCGTTGGTAGATACATTAATAATAAACATTTACACCAAGGGAAAGAAATATGTGTGACCTCACAAAAGGGAGGGAAGAAGCTGAGTTTGTGACGGCACCAAGGGACGGAAGCCTGTAAGGCACCAAGGGATGGAAGACAGTTTTTGTAACGTCATCAGAGGAAGGAAGTGTTTTCTTGCACACACAAAAAAAAAACGACAGCGTAAAAACTGTATGCCCTCGCTACAGGACAGTGTATTAAACCGACTTCAGTGTATCAAATCTTGCCGGCTGCAGTGTATCAAACCTTGCCGGCTGCAGTGTATCAAATCTTGCCAGCTTCAGTGTATCGAACCGGCACTTACCGGCTGCAATGTATAAAGCCGACACAGACCGGCTACAGTGTATCAAACCTGCACTTACCGGCTGCAATGTATAAAGCCGGCACAGACCGGCTAGTGTATCAAACCGGCACTTACCGGCCGCAATGTATAAAGCCGGCACAGACCGGCTACAGTGTATCAAACCGGCACTTACCGGCTGCAATGTATAAAGCCGGTATCAAACCGGCACTTACCGGCTGCAATGTATAAAGCCGACACAGACCGGCTACAGTGTATCAAACCGGCATTCAACAAATCTACGTAAAGACAGTCCCCGACTGAGCTGTACAGAATGCCGGTTGTTGACGGAAGTGTGTACACAATGTACACACTCTAACTACCGGTCTAATGTACACTTGCCCAGGTAAAAAATAAAATACTTAAAAAAAACTTTTTAAAAAACCACGTTTTTCTTGTGGACTAAAAAGTAGAAAATAACTATTTACATACATTTGATGACAAAAAACGTGGGTACGTTCACCATCAAATTTCCCGACCCATCTGCCCGACCCACGTTTTTTGTCATCAAATGTATGTAAATAGTTATTTTCTACTTTTTAGTCCACAAGAAAAACGTGGTTTTTTAAAAAGTTTTTTTTAAGTATTTTATTTTCTCCTTTTTAGTCCGTTGCTACACATGAAAAACGTGTTTTTTAAAAAAGTTTTTTATATAGTTTATTTTCTACTTTATCTAATGACTTGATTAAGTATGAATTGACTAAGTGTTTATAAATACACGGACTAAAAAAATCTTGAGCGACCAGGATTCGAACCTGGGTTGTCGCGGCCACAACGCGAAGTACTAACCACTATACGATCACGGCCAGCACGCTCACATCGATTGGGGCCGAAGTAACTGTGTCAACAAGCCTCCAGTCTTGTCGGTATCTTTAGAAATCATGTCCTCAATTTTATGGTCCTTTGGGCGTAATTAAATTAAGCTAATTACGGTCTCTAATTGCTAGTTTTTATGATTGCATCTGAAATTGTTAGGCGAAAGTAACCTGCATGCCAAATTTCAGATCTATAGAGCAATCAGAAGTGGGCTAATTTTCGATGTCAATTTTAACAACAAACACACGCGAAGCTGAGTTAATAAAAACGTGTTAAAAAGTAACACCAGCTGCCTGGGAAGACACCACGCAGGTAATGTTAAAACCTTAATCTCTTCACCGGTCACATCTCTAATTAAACGTCAGTTTAATTTTGTTGAATTTGTCACAAATAAGTCTAGTCACAAAAATAGAGATCTGAGGTAAAGACAAAAACGTCCACTAATCTTCAAACACGCAACACAGCAGTATTTAAAATTGGTACTACTTGAGACAGGTTCAAAAATAGAATTTTTTGTTTGTTTACACAATAAACCGAAATAAATGGGGAGCATCTGTTGTGATGGACGCCTTTTAATAGTGTATTGCAAATCCTCAGAAGGGCGAGGTATTTACAAAATTACGGGTTGTGAAATATTTTTTTTATAAAATTCAATACGTTTGTATGGGAAAACCAAAGCGTTGCGTAAATTTTCAACGGATGACAGGGAAGTTTAGTTACGCCCTCTGGCAGAGGCGTAGCGACCCTTCCCGGCGCCCGGGGAAAAACTTTCAATTTGGCGCCCCTTTGGAGAGCAACCTTTCAATTTTCAATTTACATACCCCCTCCTCAAACTTTCCATTTGCAACCCCCCCCCCCTATATTTTTAAAATTTATAATATACAAACGCAACTAAAATGATATTTCAATTTGTTTTTCCAAACCATTTTGGCGCCCCCCCCCCCCCCCCGGTGTCTGTTCGATGATTTTGGGAGCCTCTGTTCTAATGCAACCTACGCTAAAATTGATGTAAATGATTGTTTACTGATAATCTCATAACTTGGGAACCTCTGAGCTATGTATGCCTAAATCAGTGTCGCGCTAACCAACAGTACGCTTAGTCCAATAAAAAATGTTAACATAAACAATATACAAGTAGCATTCTGTCGTTGATTTATGGTGAAACAGTAGTTTTTTAACCACGACAATAAGCCAACTGCTTGATTTAAAGAGATCAAATGAAAGTTCCAATAAATCGAACTATCTACTGACCTACTTACTGATCAAACGTGTAACAGATTTAATCGATATCTCTGTTCACTTGAATCAAACGTATTGGCAAGTTCTAGTGAATAAGGAACATGTCGTGTTACTTAGATCACGTGACACCTACAGACCTATAGATGGGAGAATTGTAATGACATAGAACTACGAGTCACAATAACATAGATCTACGTCTTTCTTTAACAGTCCAATACACAAGCTTTACATTTTTGGACCATAATTTGTGGAATCAACCTAGTAGCCTAGTCACGTTAAAAATTTAATAGGCCAAAGCGATTCTACGGTGACCTCTGAACTGTTATTTCTGCATACATTAGCCAGATGTAAGCATATCCGGGCAACACCCACCACCGCAGCAAAGAGTAGGCTAAGAGACAAAAAATGCGTAACATTTGAAAATAATGCGTTTGAGATTACCGCGATAAGAAGAATCAGATAAAAGAACAGTTTAACAAAGGCCAGAGCTGTATGTGTGTCGGTAAAATATCAGCGAGTAGTAGCCTACACGGGTTTAGGAGAGACTTAAATTCTTATGTCACGATTTTTATTAGAGAGATCGTACACCTTGAATTTAAAAACAATAAAACGTAATGTTCAACGTATCCAGTTTTGTTTGATATCTCATTATCTGAGCTAGATTACATTTATAACAAACATAAGCAAACTTACATTTTAATTGTTTTGATTAGGATATTAGTAAGTGTATTTTAATTTATAATTTTAATGACGAAGCAATTTTAATTTAGCAAAGAATTCTGGCTAGAAACTACCAAATGTTTTGAGCATATAATGAACATATAATGTCCCCAGTATCGTGTTAACACAGGGTCATGTGACCTACAACCCGTTTATTTATTTATACAATAAAGCTTTGTTGTTTAGTGAATGCGTTAATTGATAATCAGACTACATCGGGCTTTTATTACCTTGTTCCAATTAGATTCTTCTTTAATTAACCTAAGACTTGACCTTTCACGCCAATATCGTCAAATATTAATCAGACAAAAAAATTGTGTAAAAATAAAAACACCATGGGTTGTCCCATGGCGACATCAGCGAATCATAAGTCACGCGAAACAAGGAATCCCCGTTGTAAAACAAGCAATCTCCAGATGTAAAACAAGCAATCTAAGTCAACCTCTTGACCTCCAGAGTCAAAAGGGCGAGTCTATTTGCTGTAAAGATGCAATAAATACATTGACCTCACCCATTAACACTTGATGGTCCAGACCTTCAAATACAGGTACGTACAGGATTCCCCCCCCCCTCACCATCAAATACAGGTACAGGATCTCCCCCCCCCCCCATCAAATACAGGTACGCACCAATGATTCCCCCCCCCCCATCAAATACAGGTACGCACCAATGATTCCCCCCATACGTTCATGGGACCCTACGTCTTCCCGCCATCCGCCGTCTTAAGTATTGCTGCCATCTTGATGGTAACCTAATTACAAGCGTGACCTTAGGCTGACCTACTTTTCTCTCACCAGGAATGTGCTTTTAAAGCCGTTTCTTTCGTTACATAAGAAAGTCGAGAGGCACAGGTAGAGTACTAGCAGGCTGAGTAGTTGAGATGATTCCTTAGATAAACATGAACACACACAGTCGTTATAGCCCCATTGATTCACATTTTGGTATTCAGATATTTTAAAAATAGGTTCGGCAGCTTGTCGATTTGTTGACATGTAGCAGCAGTGGTAGATAGTCCAAACGTTATGAGTGTTGTATTCTATGTGAGTCAGTGAATTGATTCTAGCTATTACACAGTATACATCGCCGTGGTCAGTGAGGTTTGTAGCCAGATCCGATCAGACAAGCAGTGGTGTGTGGAGTCAGAGAGCGGAGGTGTGTGCAGAACTATTTTCAATTAGACATCAAGTCTACGACACGCTTGGGTGATAGAAGATTGATACGTCCACGTTAATTTAACGACCGCTCCATTAATGTTACGGCAGTGACCGCTTCAGTACACGTTGACCACCGCTCCAATACCGTCCATGTTCACTTAATGACTGCCCCACTGTGGTCTATATTAATAACTGCTCCACTATCGTCCACGTTTATGATCGATCGCCTATCGATTGACCAGAGCAACTGCGCGTGCCATGCCAGGTAAAACCAATCGCCCGGTTGCCGGATTGTAATTATTTCATCAGCTGATCTCAGTAACCGACATAGTAGGTTTTGGAGAGTAGGCCCTAGGTTTTAGAGAGTAGGTTTTAGAAAGTATGTTTTAGAAAGTAGATTTTCAAAAGTAGGTTTAGAAAGTACGTTTTAGAGAGTAGGTTTAAGAGAGTAGGTTTAAGAGAGTAGGTTTTAGACTTTTGAGAGTAGGATTTGGCAGAAAAGACAGGATGTGTAGCCCTTGTTTTAGACAGTTGAGACACGCAGGCAAACATACAGAAACTTATTAAAAAATCGTTAAGTATTGTCATGTATACACATGTACAACCTTTACTTACAATGTATTCTTCCTTAACATTTCGATACTCTTTTGTTGAATAAAGTACTGTACAATTCTGGTTTACTTAGGTATTTACTTTTTCAATTAAAAAAAAATATTTTAGAAGAAAAACAATAATTATCAACCCAATCAAGCTCTGCGTGTGGGCCGACAAGTTGAACTTCTGAACCAAAATTCTCCCCATAAATTTAAACTCAGCTTGCCAGGAAGGCCCGCTAGATGAGCCTAATGAAGTCATCAGCAGACCCAACTAACTGCTGCAGCCGAGTCAAGAAAAAACATAACACACCATGCCAGGTAAACGTCGTGAATCCCAGCCATAAATAAACTACAGGCGGCATCAACGGCATGATTTGAAAACTGCTAGTTTGGCGGTAGACTGACAAAGTATGTGAGGCAATGTTAATATATTGCACCATAGTTGTCGAGTAATACTATAACAAAATATGTTCATTACTGAGCAAAGAAAGCTGAACTATCGCGTGACCTTGAGCTGTGAGCCGATACGTAAAGTAAACCTAGAAAGTAAACAAAAGGGAACGACGTAAAGAAGGGCAACTTACTTGACTCTGTATTTTGGTATTCTCAGCTATCCGCCGGCTCTCTGGTGTGTCCGCTACTGCCGTGGGTTTGGTGGTGGGGTAGTGGCTGAAAAATGGCAGGAGTTTAGTGTTAGTTTTTGTTGTTGTCGTTGGTTAGGTTGTGGAGTGGTGGCAGGAGTTTAATGTTAGTTTCTGTTGTTGTCGTTGATTAGGTTGTGTGTGGTGGCTAAAAAATGGTAGGTGTTTAAAGTTAGTTTCTGTTGTTGTCGTTAGGTTGTGGTGTGGTAGCTGAAAAATAGCGGGAGTTTAATGTTAGTTGTTGTCGTTGGTTAGGTTGTGGTGTGGTGGCTGAAAAAAGACAGGAGTTTAATGTTAGTTTCTGTTGTTGTCGTATGTTAGGTTGTGGAGTGGTGGCTAAAAAATGGCAGGAGTTTAATGTTAGTTTCTGTTGTTGTCGTTTGTTAGGTTGTGGTGTGGTGGCTGAAAAAAGGCAGGAGTTTAATGTTAGTTGTTGTCGTTGGTTAGGTTGTGGTGTGGTGGCTGAAAAAAGGCAGGAGTTTAATGTTAGTTTCTGTTGTTGTCGTTTGTTAGGTTGTGTGGTGTTAAATGGGGGAGGGGGCTGTAAAAAAGGGTGTCAAGTGCTAGTTTTACCTATCGTGGATGATTTGGCTGTGGAAGGAATAGGTCGGATGGATACATAAAGGCAGGTGTTTTAATTAGAGCTGTTGGTGTTGATTAGGTTGCGAGTGAAGATGGGCAGGAAGAATAAAAAAGCAGGGGTTTAGTGTTAGTTTCAGTTACTATAGATGCTTTGATTGGAGTGGAAAGAAAGGGGGTTAAACAAAAACGTTTCAGTTTAATGAGTAGTTTTTGACATAAGTATAAGCTAACATACAGGTTATTTTTTAAAATATAAAATCAAACAGTAAGCATAGTGCCAGGTTTACAGCAATATATACCCTGATGCTCTGAGTTACACGTAACAAAACCTATCTTCAACCACACAATGACATGTTATTTATTTTAAACAATGCCACATTTACCGTAAAACTGAAAAAAAGTGCACTTACGCGTTACAGTAGGGTAGCTTTTCGTAACCTTTGTAGTTTTTCATGTTTAACGTCATACCACAGACTTCGCATTTGAAACAGAGTTTGTGCCAGATCTGTGGAAGAGAGGAAAAACCTGGGGTCAGCTGACTCTATACAACACATTTGTAACAATAGCTGGCTCTACACAACACATTTGTAACAATAGCTGGCTCTATAAACACATTTGTAACAATAGCTGGCTCTACACAACACATTTGTAACAATAGAGTCAGCTGGCTCTATACAACACATTTGTAACAATAGCTGGCTCTATAAACACATTTGTAACAATAGCTGGCTCTACACAACACATTTGTAACAATAGCTGGCTCTACACATCACATTTGTAAAAATAGAGTTAGCTGGCTCTATACAACAAATCTGAAACGACCGAGTCAACTGACTCTAAACAACACATTTGAAACAATAGAGTCAAATTGGTCTAGACAGATACGAATCAAAATATGGTAGAGCCAAAGTTTCTTTTATGCATCTCTTTCGGGAATGGGGGGGGGGGGGGGGGGGTGGACGTATTGCCCCCCCCCACACACACACACATCAACAACGTTCAGATTAAGTGTCAGTAATGAATATCGCATAATTGAATGGACCCTGGAACATTTTCTTGTCTTCTTGAATGACGACAAACAAAATATTCCTTGTTTACGTGTTTTCTGCTTCACCAAGCCCTAATGTAGCACCAGTTATCCATAAAAGGAACTAATGGGACCCACCCCCCATGATGGTGTCACACAAGCCCCCAATCCCCCTCCCCCTTTATCTCACGTAAATCAAGACAGACAACTCTAGAACGAAATGCCTCTCATCTGCATTTTCCTGGCGACATTTGCCAACACTTAGAGCCATTGTTGTCAAAACCCTTTCAAACCCGATTAAATATTCAATACAGAGTTCTCTGTCTTCAAGGGAGGGGAAAATATCTAAGAAAAAAAATATCTAAGAAAAACAAAGTTGTAAAAAAAACGGAAGTGAACACTAATCAATAGAATAAATTACACGTTTAGAGAATTGATTCGCTTGATTGCCAATTAGCTACGTCAGAAATTATGACAATTTTTATTCTAAAGATCAGAAACTAAAACTATGTTGATGTTTTTATTTATTTCTTTTAACTAATTGCCGTAGCTAAAAATAATCACGTAAATAAAGAGTAGAACTAATCGTTGGATAAAACGGCTTGAGTCACATTTTAATGGATTACCAACTTAACAAGTTTCAACCACCAACACGAGTGTAAGTACAACTGATGTGTAATCAAAAAACCAGAAAGATAAAACGATTAGCACTCGAAACGCTAAAACGATTTGGGTTATTAAGATTAAACAAGTGGTTGATGACAGATAAGATACAAGTAGTGATCAATGAAGTTTTGCCCAATCCAGACTTTTTTTATTTTAGTATCAGCACCAGCTAAACTGAAATCTATAACAGCTTACTGTGCAGAGCTACAGAAAATTTCCCCGACCTTAAGATGGCAGGTCGATAGCCTATTTCTGATGTGTTAGAGAAGCGTGGATGGTTTTGTCGTGTACCTCATTACAACAGCATGATAAATAATGTGTGCTATTCTTATTTAGGCTTCCAAAGTTTAAAGAAACGAAACTGTATTTGACTCAAATCATACCTTGTGTTATAGACAAACTATTATGGCAGACCTTAGTAAAACAGCGAATACCTTAGGAATAAATATGCATATCCCATCATATTAGACTGGGTCTTAAAAAAACAACTGGGGACTGTTTGATTACTCAAAGTGATAAGCATGGCGGGAGGGGAAGTGGGGAGATTGCTGTAAAATATTTGGGGTGGGTTATAGCCACTGTAACCTCTATTTTATCTCTATGTATTTCGGTTGACAAAAGAGTTGAATATTCCCAGTGATTTATTGCAACAGAAAAACGGCGCGTTGACAGGCTGACGTTGGCGGGATTTACCAGACAACTGATATTCCAACACCCAACAGATGCTCCAACACCCAACAGATGCTCCAACACCCAACAGATGCTCCAACACCCAACTGATATTCCAATACTCAACTGATATTCCAATACTCAACTGATACACAACACCCAACTGATATTCCAATACTCAACTGATATTCCAACACCCAACTGATATTCCAATACTCAACTGATACACAACACCCAACTGATATTCCAATACTCAACTGATATTCCAACACCCAACTGATATTCCAACACCCAACTGATACTCCAACACTCAACTGATACTCCAACACCCAACTGATATTCCAATACTCAACAGATACCCCAACACCCAACTGATATTCTAAAACAGCACTGGATATGCGTGTTCAATAAAGATCTTCCAACAGTTAACATTCCACCCCTGTAACACGTGTGTAAACTTCCATTCAAATTAAGTGTCTTAGATCAAACTCCGTCCACACATACTAGACGGGACGAGATAAACATTACTTGAGTAACAATAAATGTGTGGGGAATTAAAAACCTGATTATAAGCAGACGCACACCTCCCCCCCCCCCCAACCCCGCATCCCATCCATTTTTGGAATGTAATAGTCTATAAATAAATCAATCAATAACTTCATTAAATGGTACAAATGAAACAATTTTTTAAAGCAATTGTTATCAAATTCAGCTCGACTAAAAATATCACAAGAAATGAAATCAGCTCAACTTGCTCATATAATTATTATCTACTTGAGCTGGCATTATCTAAAATCTTTGGGCTTATATTGTATGGGTAAACTGCGATCTATGTCTAACACATTCGACCAACCAACTACAGCGAAAATCGAATTTCGCAGTTTATTACTCCAAACTGTTTTTGTAGACTCGACACGGTTCGTATCGTGAGACATTAACAAATCATGTTAACTTGTTGTGGTTTGTGGTTCGTATAGTGAGACATTTACAAATCACGCTATCTTGTTGTGGTTTGATGCCGTCATTAGTTTTCCCGCTACCACTCCCACAACAAAACAATGCGTCACGTGATCGGTGTGTTGGTACATACCTACACACCCGTTTTTAAAAGGTCAGGGTACACGTGTGAAATCTCAAGGTTACACTTCAGCCGGTTAGCAAAAGGTAACGGTGACTTCCCTAGCGCAGGAAACCTTTAGCCCCCCGCCCCCCTCCACATGCACACACGTCCGCAATTCACGTGCATCTGTGCGAGTTCAACAAACTAGTCGCTGTAATTTTATGTCAGGAAGCGAAAGTCGCCAGATAAAACTCGCCAAGTATAGAGTAAATGTAAATATTTATAAAACACGACTAAAGAAGCCGTGAGATAACTGTATAAAACAGGACTCAAGAAGCCATGAGATAACTTTATAAAACACGACTAAAGAAGCCGTGAGATAACTTCATCACACTACACTCCGCCATACATAAATACGACTCGCATGACAGCAGTCAAACAGGGGCCATATTGTACATGCACCCAGTCGACGTGCTAATGAATCCCATCTGTGCCATGTGACGTGTGTCACCTGACTGCTCACCTACATGTGTTCACCTGACTGCTCACCTACCTCTCATCAGCGAATTGTTTACATTCTGGCCATCATCGGGAGTAAATATTCCGCTGCACGGTGAGCACGCGCCCCTTCAACATATACACGAACTTAGTTACAAAACTTTTTTTTACACCCACATACAAATTATTTTATAATTTAAAGGGTACAAGGACAGGTAAACATTATGAAAACTATTTTTTTTTATAAATTTTAAATATTTATATTTTGGAAGTGAAGCTCTAACATTTAAAAATAACGCAGAAAACATTGTCTTTTACACTGATATAAAAAAACATTTAGTTTGTCTATTGATTAAGACTGAGGTATGTAGAGAGGTAATAGCATTAAAAATAACCACTGCGTGGGAGTGGAGGTTTCGAGTGGGCTGGGTAGACAACACACGACTCAAAAATGCGCACTCGCCCCACTCCTCGGTGAAAGCTGCACAATCAGGAACAGAGGCTGAACCTTACATGTAGGTGAACTCTCCACGCCCCCCGAGCAACTGTACCTCACCACTAAACAATAAATATAGATCCTATTGGCACCAGGATCGTCTGCGAGCCGACTGCAGGTGTCTGGGAATTGGCTAAAAATAGAACAGGTGTATTGTTTCTTTTAAAAAAATCCCCCTCATATAAGCTTTTAATAACCGAAAGGAAGAAATGGGGAGACGCCTATAGGCTAAATTGAAACACTTTCTGCTTATTAAATGAAAAGAAAGAAACTTTCAATGATTTAAGTTAAAACTACACCGGAAACCACCGATACAAATATAATGTGCTATACTTCTAGTGTACTTTTAAAAATGTCAGCATGCTGTATTTGGTGGTTGTTTTGTTGCTAGTACTGCTACGTTAAATTAGATTTCTGCCCTAATCCTGACCCTAATCCTAACCGTAATACCGGCTGATTGTGTATTGTCCTGCCGGCTTATTTATACGAGGTGAAGAGTAAACCGAATATCCTGTTTATGTTAGGCAGGGGATCACAGTGAGTACTCAAACCACCATAAACATTACACGTGAGCTCCTGCCGTGTTCGTCTGGAGAGACACAGGGGGGGGGGGCGGGAGGGGCTAGGGTAGGGGGCTATGGTAGGGGGGCGGGAGGGGGCTAGGGTAGTGGGCCGGGAAGGGGCTAGGGTAGGGGGTGGGTGGGGTCTAGGGTAGGGGGGCCGGGTGGGGGCTAGGTTAGTGGGCGGGTGGGGGCTATGGTAGAAGCGGGTTGGGGCTAGGGTACATCAGTACACCACCACTCCATCCAATAATTCCGTACACCATGTAATCGTTCCGGTGACCGGACACCAAAAATCATTAACTGACCAGAAATAGCGATGTGAACACGCAGCTAACTGGCTACAGAACATAGCCAGTGTGTGATTTACAGTAAGACTTTTCTTTTTCTCTCCAAGCACTTACACAAGGAGATGGTACTGTATCTTACACGGCTGTACAGTCACACAATTTGTTGTGGTACAATATATAGGTGATACAGTGTATAGTCACACCACTATATAGGTTGTACAGTGTACAGTCACACCACA